ATTGAATTGACGTTTTCCGAAATACAACTGAAGAAGGTGTAGTGAAGAATTGGCGGATTATCAGTATTTCATGCAATATTTATGAATCATTAGATGCAATGTGAATGTTACTGTTTTCATGGTTTCTTATACCCAACTCATAACTTAATGAGAAGCAGAACACAGATTTCTTGACGAAAAGACATTGCAAACTGGACATTCCGATTCAGTGTAAAACAGCCTGCATATATTGTTATTGCCAGAAATATAAATTGCAGGAATCAATTGCATGCAATGAAAAATTAGGAATAGTGAAGTGACTCTGAAGTCAATAAAAATAAAACAAATGGAATAAATATAACATGCTCAAGAGGTACCTATAGTTTGAAAAACATCACAAAAATTACTATTACCTATAGGCAAACGAGACGGTAGGTACTCTTTCTGTACAAGGACTCTTTTGTGAGGCTGCTGTCCTCGAAGTCTATCATTTTTCATTTGGGAGGTGAAGTTCCTCCTTTTGAAGTCCCGTTTAGACGGTTTATACTTTATAGTCAGAATTTGGTACTAGGAAAATATGGAATATAAACAAACTGAAGAATGATCAGGATAGAAAGAATTTTGTTTTATGACCCGTAAACTGATGTCATCCGATGTTCTGTCTCTGCATGGTTCTTTCAATATAGTGAATTCATACACGACTTTACTAAGTCCTAACTCAAGAATTAGAGGAGGCGATTGGTGGATTAAGAAATGTTATCTGAATTCAACCAATAATCACTCGTCATTCTTGAGTTGATACTAAGTTATCGAGTGAAACATGCATGAATTCACCACATCGTATGTATGAAGGTGTACCTGATTTGTACCTAACGGTTTAGTTACTGAAAATCAATAAGCATGTTTTTTATTGAAATTTCTTGACTCGACATGATGGTGAAAATAGGCAATTCTTTCAAAGGTAAGAGAAAATCCAATTGTCACTTCAGAGGCATTTGACCTTGCATAATCCCTTCGTATGATACTTATTACTAGATGTACTCTTTTTTCATTTCGATAATCTGGTCACCCTATATAGTATTACTCCACCTAGACATTCACCTTAGGACCGCTCTTGGAAATATTTCAAGAACAACATATAAAATATGAATGAAAGGCTTCTAGTACCTCTAATGTACCTATTGTAGAAGATTACCGATCAGTAATGTGAAAGAGAGGCGTTTGAATCGCAAATGTTGCAATAAATTCAGGTTAATTGAAGTCATTTCGAACATTTTATGAGGTACCTAGTCGGTATTGAATAGTCAATTAAGGTGTTCGTAATATCTGTTCGAAGTATTTCCACAAAAGTGTCATTGAAACTGGTCATGTTAGCTTCTAGATTACGGTTTTCTTACCGATACTGATAAGTGCGGATGTTTATGCACAAAATTGGTAAACCAAGACGTAGATAGCATGGTTTTTAGACCTCAACGCATGCTACATAGTTGACTATCCTTGAAATATTGAGATCGAAGTATCATCCGAAAAAAAAAAATTACATAAAATGAATATAAAATGTGCAAAAAATCGTTAATGTCAATTTTTCACGATCAGATTGCAATTCAACATATTGATTATCCATTTTCACCTCATGTCCGATGTTAGTAGTAGTAGATGGGGAGGCTGTAGCCAAGCAAGTAGGCCCCGATGGCCCATTTCTGCTAACCCCTGCTATCCACATATCTACGCTTCCTTCACCTAGATTTTCTTTACGAATCTCCCTGACCTTCTGATAAAGGCCAGTATGTCCGTCTACTCTAATACAATCAAGTCCTCCTGTTGGAGTTTGTCTACTCCAAAGATTTCAAATCTCAGCCTTCCGTACGCCTCGCACTCGCCGAGGAAATGGAGTGACGTTTCCTCGTCTTCCCCGCATCTGCGGCAAGTGGGGTTGTCCTCTATTCCCATAAGTGATATAGGTGTCTGCCTAGCCTGTTGTGTCCTGTGAGTACTCATATGAGGAGGCAGAGTACTTGGCGGTCTCTGCCAAGCAGCCACTCCTACCTTGATTTGCTTGGACCGGCCATGAATTTCTTGGACCGGCCATGAGTTCCTTGGACCGACCATGAGTTCCTTGGACCGGCCATGAATTCCTTGGCCTGCCTGCAACCTGTGATATTCCTCCAGTATTCTCCTAGTGCCTTGTCCGCCCATTCATCGAGGGCTGACGTAATTTGGCTCCTTGCTATACCTAGTACAGGCTCCGGTCCCAGAAACGGCTCCGCGGATCCGGCCCTAGCAAGTTCGTCTGCTGTTTCGTTTCCGGGTACCCCACTGTGACCCAAGACCCATACCAGTTCAACTCCCTTTGATTCTGCTAATATATCAAGGGCATTTCCACATTCCTGTACCAGTGCTGAGCTCGGTCTGGGATGACAGATAGCCTTGAGTATTGCATGACTGTTCGAACAGATGTAAATCTTCTGCTCTTGTCCCTCTTTCACCTCTTGCCTCTCTGCTACGACCAGGATGGCGAACACCTCAGCTTGGAAAACTGTGGTGTATTTTCCTAGAGCGTAGCTTTCTCGTATGTTTCCTCCTTCGAGGTAGACTCCTGCACCCGAGGCATGTTTGTCAGACAGGCGGGATCCGTCTGTGTAACATACTGAGCTTCCTGGGCGAAACTCCACTGTAAGTTTGAACTTCCTATTCCATCTCAGCCTGTCCTGTACTTTGTTCACTTTAAGCAGAGTGGAGATAGGAATCTCTTGCTCCACCCACTCTGCTATTTTTGCATGTCCTGTTATTGTCCCTCCGCTTGCCCAGTTTCCTGAGTCATCGCCTCCTTCTTTATCCAGATTTGAAGCGGTGGTAGCCCCAGCATTACTTCTAATGCTGCCGTTGGCGTCGTCCTCATCGCACCTGTTATTGCTAGGCATGCCATCCTTTGGACCTTACTTAGGTTCCGACCTATCGTAATGGTTTCTGCGCCCGTCCACCACACTGCCGACCCATATTGGATCTTTGGTCTTACGACTGCTGTGTACAGCCAGCGCATAATCTCGGGGTTGATGCCCCAAGTTTCTCCTATAACTCCTCAGTTGCCATAAGAAAACCACCGACGTTTGCACAACCAGAGTCCAAAACCACCCCTAGGTATTTGACCTGTTGGACTAATGCCAACTCTTGACCAAACATGGTGGGTGCCTCGAAACCTTCATTTGTAAGCCTGCCCAGGAGTTCGTCCATATCCCATGTTACTCCCAGGTCTCCCCTACAAATCTTCTGGTATCCGATAGTCAATAGTCATAATAAATCAATACCATTCAGTATGATCATGACGAGGATAATGATATCAAACTGTCTGAATTGTATAGCGTGGTTTAGCTAATAAGATCAGGCTATTCTTAGAACCATAAAAACGCTGTGATAAAGACAAATTTCTGGGAGTGTAAATATTTATGTAATATAAAATGTAATGAGGTATACATCGAATGAGTGAATCGACATGTAATAAGCTTTTTTCTAGAAACTATAATAGGTATTTTGTCCCGTCTGTAAGCTGAAAGGTGACAAAAGAGATATATATTGCCTACTTGCATTGAGTATATTCAACCTACTATTATTTGTCATGGAGGGTATTCGATTGTTAATTAGTTAACTTCAAACGGACTGGCAGCGTGCGGCGTATATTTTTTTGCTGGAACTAATTTTCTCTGAGAAATATATCTATCATAACTTCCAAAAATTAAAAAATAAATAAATCAAAAAATCCAAAAGTACCTATCTTCTCTTCCTATGTTGCATCATTGTTTGCCTTGAGTCCGTTCGGCTCCGGCTGTTTCTTCTCAATTATCATTTGCCTCTGATCTCGTCGGTACCGAGTATTCCTCAATATCGAGGGAACACCATCCAAACTGTACTTTGAGTCTATGAACGTATTAATTAATCATATTCACATAATTAATATTCACATTTGAACTTCGTCTAGGTGAAAACAATGACAACTCATTTATTTTTCATACAAATGTAAATACAGTGGCGGATATATGTATAGAGTCTATTGGGGTGAAGTCTATAGAGCCCCATGGGGGTTCAAGAGGACACCGCGAAATAATTCAAAAAGAATAAATAAAACTTACCGCACCTATACCTTTGCCCATTAAATTCGAAATTAAATATAACGGCCCGCAGTGATTAAGTATATTTGGGAATGATATAATATTATTCGTTAATCAAAATTGTTAGTAGTTTTTAGAATTGTTTCTAATAATAAGCTACGAGACGAAACGACATTTACTCAGGTTGTCCTATGTAGATTGTAGAATATTGTTTGGAACAATTATGAATGAGAGTATCAGTATTGGGAGTGATTTGAAGTAGTAGCAAAAGTTCACAATCATTCAATTGAAGATGAACCTATAGGTTCAAAACATGTCCTGAAATTGCTTAAGAGTTTCATTAAACAATTGTGGAGTTGACTGGGGAATGGGGACTGGAAACTTTTTTTACTACCTACTTCATCCATTTATATTCTCCATTTTGAGATTATATGGACTACTAAAGATTGAAAGTGATTTATTGATAAGAATGAAATTGTATGATGATGTATACATATACGAGAAAATCTTTGATATTCAGTAATATACGACAAAAAAATGAAGCTCCTTTGGGTGGATTTGAAAATTTTTTCAATTACCTCCTGAGGTAGCTTAAACAGTACTTACGTTGAGGTTCTTTTGGCTTTTCAGCAGGTTTTGAAAAACAATTAGTTCTGGGCTGGACTAATTTTTGTATAGGACCCTATACTTATTCTGATTTTATAAATATGTTTCCATTAGAGGTACTTTTTATTGTCTCTGAAGATGGTCCTGATGCCGAAACTATAGTCACACACGTTGTTATTGAATTTTGTGGTTTAATTTTGTTTTTAGTAAAATATTATATGATTTTATGTCTATAGGTGTATGACGACTGAAATACTGAAGATTTTTCAATTTGACCAAATTATATTTTGATATCGTTTTCTATTGTTTCAGGGCCTTGCTTTCACATTCGAGGAACGCCAAACACTTGGTATACATGGCCTTTTACCACCCAGAGTTAAGACACAAGAAGAACAACTACAACACTGTAAGATGTGTTTGGAGAGACTTGACGATGACCTAAATAAGTATTTATATCTCATGGGACTATTGGTGAGTATTTATCGTTTGTACAATTCGGAAGGGAGGAACAAAAAATATATCAAAAGGAAGAACCAATTACTACCTATGTGAACATAACCTGGTGAATGTTCCTTCTCATCTCATATTCATAGCATGGAACATTTACTATTTTATATACAACCATCATATTTCGTTCGAAATTGATGAATCTCTGTTTCGTTCTGAACATACCCAAAATATTACATAAGTGAGGGCGGGAAGAAGAGTTGATATATACAGCGTGTCTCACTTCAAGCGCCCCCCCCCCTCTATATCTCAGTTATTAGTCGTTCAATTTTTCTAAATTTACCTATATCAGTGTTTCAATAAAATACAATAAAATATAATGACATAGTAGATAATCAATTACATTTAATCAACTAACAGGGACAATAGATGTCTGCAAGCGATGCCTCCAATAACCCACTAAAATAATTAATCCTCTATATTCGACATATTGATGTAGCAGCAGAGTTGAGGAATGGTTTTATTCAATAAAAAATACAGGACCGGACTTGGTTTTTGGAAAGAACTACAGAACAATTATAATTTTCGGAAAAAATTTGTCAGTATCCTAATATTCTTGAACCAAGATTTTCAACATGTTCTCCTTCAATTTCTACACATTTTTGCATCTCTCCGGGAGATCACTTACGGATTTTCTAATAATGTGCCTATTATTTCTTATCATATCTCAATTTGTAACTATCCTCTCCCTCCGTTTCTCTCTGGTGTTGACTTCAGAGTCCGATATACCAATCGTTTCATATGTCTCCATAAATAATCGGCTAATACTGTCGGATTAGGAGACCCAAGAGGCGAAGAATGAGGACCGCCATGACCTATCCAGCGATTAGAGAATTGGGTGTCTATGTATACCATGGACGTTCACTTGTATTAATTAATGTGGTGGTGCCCCATCCTGTTCGAAGAAAATACCTCTTCATCAATTTACCTACATCCATCACAGCCTTTTTTTAAGTGTTTTCTGAATCGTGAAAACACCAAACTCACAATTTGATTAGTTGATTGAGAGAGTTCACATTCGATCATATTCAATATTTGTTCGAAAGTTTATTTTATAGTATTGTTGGCTCGTATATCTGATTCGGAAAAAACTTTTGCCTGAGCAATAATTCTTATATAAAGAGTACAATGTTTCCACATTTCAACATGTGAAAGCAGATTTCAATTGGAAATTATTTATGTTCATGTTTTGAAAGGTCTCTTCCAGAAAAGCAAGAACGGTCTTGGATATTTCATCGAATAAAGCCTCTTCCCAACTTTTATGATACACCGATGTGCAATAAAATGTTTTGAACGATGTGACTGACTACAATATATGCCCGCACGAAATCATGGAAGTATGTATTAGTATATTTTGTTCGATATATTTTTTAACAATTTGGTCGAAGTATTCCGTACAAAATGAAAAGCTACACTTGTAGTGTTTTTTATTGTTTATCGTCACTAACTTTTCATTCTTGCTGAGCCTGCTAAAAGCTATGAAAACACATTCCTACGAAGTGGAGACAAATTCATGTAGACTGCCCAGTCTCGGGACCAGTTGAATACTTTATAATGTATCCCGTATATCTGTTGTAATTATTGTGGTGGTCGACTGGTCTCTAAATCCTATATATGCCCGTATTTTTTTCTGTATACTATATGACGGGACCAAAGAATCCCAATTAATCCCGAAAGTGCGGTTCGTTTCCCGAGGGCTCAGTTCGATAGCAACAACTCGACAATTTATGTCATTTTAGTCCCAAGGTAAGAAGGTTGCACTTTCTGGATAAACTATTACCATAATTATTAGATATCCTATCGATCTGACAATTTGGTTGGAGAAGTACCTGCCAGTTAATTAGTTGGTTAATTTTGAAATGATACCGTTAGTCATTAGTCACTAATTCAGTACTTGTTTTGGATTGAGTGAAGGACATACGTACTTGACTGGAAAGTACAAGAATCAATATCGACACGAGTGATTTGTCTGGATATATCGTTATAGAACAGTTTAGGGATATTGAAATATTACTTTTTTGGGGATTGTGACTTGGGAATGTAATTTTGTTAACAGAAAAATACTGTGATGATCATGTATCAACCAGCTTATTGTTTTTTTTTCTGCTATAAAAATTATTTTCTGTAGTAATATATACAAGAGCCAATGACAATAAGTTTGAGGAATGATCGAATCTGTTTCCATAATTTTCTTATTTGTCGAGCTCTCGTCTGTTATTCGATAGTTTTTTTCATTCTAATGATGCGAATTGATGAAAGATATGTCGGATCAACAAAAGAAAAAACACCTACTTAATATCATTCCAGCGGTAATGCCCTATAAGTAAGTGAGCTAATTGAAATTGATTAACTCACGTGAATCAGGCAAACATGTCTTCCGTATCTCCAAAGATATTTTACCAATATTTTTATTTTGGATTGCAATCAATTAGAGGGTTATTACATTAGCTTGCATAACAAACATTAGAATCTTAAATTATGAAGTTTTGTACCTGCGGCACTAGAAATACTGATCAAAGGATCAGATTTTCACTAGATTCATAAAAGTGCCAATATCTCCAAAACTATCAATATTTTTCCGAGGTCATATTGCGATATACTGGCAGTCCTGATATAGGCTATCAGCGCTCCAAAGGAAGACGTTGAGTTTTGAGACACCATGTATATTATTATATTGAATATTGATAATTGGCCCAAACAAACGTCATCTACACTGACTTCTCCGAAACCTTTGACAAACTTGACCACGGAATTTCAATAAACAAACTGAAAGCATTTGGCGTATTCCTCTCTCTAATCAACTTAATCAAATCATATCTCAATAATCGTAAACAATGTGTCCAGTTGAACAGTTTCAAGTCTGTAGAATATTGTGCAACATCTGGCGTACCACAAGGCTCCAGTCTGGAGCCACTACATCGGTAATGTAATTGTTTTATGCGGACGACCTGGAATTATATGGATGCGTGAATCACATAGATGAATGTCAAAAGCTGGCTGATAACCTGGGTCGAGTAGTCGAATGTTGTTGAAATAACATTAGAACTGAATCCTGTCAAATGTAATGTCCTTCACACTAAAGTCTGACCCAATCATATTCGATTATGTAATTGGTGGCATTTCTCTTCTGAGACCATTCAAAGATCTTGGCGTTCTATTTGATCAATCTATATCGTTTAATGATCTTATTGACTCAATCTTGAAATCTGCATATCGAGCATACGGGTTCATAGTTCGTGATTTCAAGAAGATATATACCACTGTTTTATACGTTCGAAGATTGAGTATGCATCGATTGTTTGGAGTCCATACTATCAAAACAATACCGACCGTCTGGAAAGTCTGCAACGACGGTTTCTTAAACTGTTAAGTTACAGGTCATGTGCTTCTTGAAACATTCAAATTTGCAAGCCTGCACGTTAGGAGAAAATACCTCTCTATCCTGATCCTTTATAGGGTTGTTAAGAATCTAATCGACTATGCAGATTTGTTGGAGAAATTCAATTTTATTATCCCAAGATTATCTTCCAGAAATTGTGACACATTCTACTTAGAGTTTCCACGAACCAATTATTATTCCCACTAGTTTAGTAATATTGTTTTCCATCACTAGCTATCAAACCTACCAATATTGTTTTTACTACCAAGGTACTTTTCGTCATATTATGAACCACTAGTCAATAAAGACATCCACCTCTGTTGTAATTAACCTGAATTCACTGTTCTGATGCAGAATTCGCAGAAATGTCACTCGAATCTTGTAGGTCATATGCTGTCATGGTCATGGCTACTAGTTTCCAATTAGAATTGAAGAGAAGTGTTTTCATAGAGACAATAGGTCTGAATTTCAGTTTCACGGAATTTGAATGATGGAAATATATTGCTAGTTAAATAGATCAAATCTATGCTAGCTGTGAAGGAAATTCTGAATATGTTCTATCCTGGAAGTCCTGAATTACCTATGTCATTACATGCATATTATCTGCATGTGAAAAATTCTCGTAGGAATTAAAAAAGCAGGATCAAGTGTTTGCAAGCAAGGACCTACCACTGCCATTTTAAAAGTTTATAAAAACTCATTACTTTTTATAGATTACCTAAGTACATACATATATAGAATTCAGAGGTATATTTTTTGGAACTCCCTTGTATAATGTTATATCTTAATATACTTGGACCTCTACTTATTGGTCTTTAAGATCTGTAAATCTTTTTCTGATTTTTCAGGATCGCAATGAAAAACTGTTCTACAGTCTCGTTCGTAAATACACGAGTGAGATTATGCCCCTAGTATATACACCAGTAGTAGGATTAGCGTGCCAAAATTTTGGACTAGTTTACAGAAGACCTAGAGGACTTTTCATAACAATCTATGACAGGGAACATGTATATGATGTGTTGAAAAATTGGTGAGTATATCAAAATTATAAACTTATACCCGAGGGGTGGCTCACTATGGTAATATGGTGTACATAGTAAAGTATTTGGGATATTTCTATCACACGTGGGACCAAGACTCGAAAATAATGGGAATAATGAAAAGTAAAAGATACACAAAACCGGGAAATGTTTTGAGGTTAGTTTCCATCATAGGATGGACCAATCCCGGGTCATCTACGATGTCATTTGCGTACTAGTTGCGCACAATAAGAAAACCTGGTTCAATATTTCAATTTGGTCTAAAAAGTTAAAAGTTGATCAACCTTCTACTCGTTATTTGATAAATTATAATTGTTATTTGTCTACATAGAAACAGTGATTGAAAATAGCAAGTTCAATTCATAATTGATAATTGTAAATTGATGCTGCATGATTCCACACTCAATCTTTCAGCATTTCTCCAGATAGCCCTGGAAACTAAGGTCCCTTCAAAAATCAAGAATCAGCTATTCCTTCAGGTTAATTTTCCACTCATATCTTATTTGGTCGTAATTAATATACTCATAAGAGTCGGTTACATAAACCTGCTTCCTGTTAATTCAACGAGGACTAAACTCTTCTATCAGCTAAAAGGCAGAAAGTTGAGCTATACTCGTATAGGTGGAACCAGAGGGGCCATCAGGTAGCCGTGCGGACAGAGTGTCAGTATTCTAATTCGCATTCGCTTGCCGGTCGTGGGTTCAATTACCAGCGACTACGGAAATTTTTCTGATGGCCCAAGAAAGTGTTTGGGATCACACGTTGAGAGGTAAGCCCCCCGTCATTCCTTGCTCGCACAAGACTTGGAAGACTTTTGAGAGGGTTTCTCGTAAGGGGGCAACCGAATGACAGATATAACAATTATACAACAACAAAAACTATAGGGAAAAACTTCAAAAAAAACTTCAGAAATGATATTGTGATATCTATTTTGGTATCTACCCAGCAAACATCGAATCTCTGGCCGCCTTCTGGCCCAATGCATGATCAGTCGGCAGAGTGCTGGCAACGGCTGAGCTGCAATGGGCGAACGTCGGCCCATTGTATGGTATATTGTAATCGTTTATCCATAATCCAGCCAGCACTGGACCAGTAGTATCAAATCGTGATGCCATTTCACCACGTCGTCTAAACATCGGCCCTTTGTATGGCATATTGAAATCATTCAACTATAATCCAACCGGCACCGGGCCAATAAAAGGCATCCGCGCTTTACCAGACTCCATCATATGATATTACTTATACATCAGCCCTCTCCTGTGGTGGTATATGATACGTTTGTAAATAATGAAATATTTTTTCTGCAAACTCTATGATTAATAATAGTTTTCTAACGTAGATAGTAGGTGAATTAAAGATGCCTAATTGTTGAGTGTTGACAAAGTCTCCCCACTTTTATCTATAATAAAATATTTAGGTATATTTTCATTATCTCCTAGTGCTATCTGCAAATAAAGTGATCCTTTCGACAGTGATAGAGGAAAAGTAAACGTCAATTCACCTATTATATTATATTTCGTTCTTCAACATTCCGTTGTATACGTATATATAGGTATCCGATATTTGCTTGCTGATTGGTAAATAAATCTACCACCTAATTAAGTCATCATACATCTCACTAAGAAATTTAAAAGAAACTCATCAGGTGAGTCACAGAAACTCGTCTACTTTATCGGAGAATTAGCAATTTTTGTCCTCTGTTAATGATATGATTATTATAATTATTCATTGATAGTACTCGTGAGTCATCCGTAGTCAATATCTGACAATAAGTGAAAATGGCTCAGTTGAAAGGTCGCAGGTTCGAACGCGGCGACCAGTCACTTCTTTTTTTAATTTTAGGTCTGACGGTATACATACATCGGTGACCTATTGACGTCTGACCGACGTCGGTTGCCGCTCTTTTGCCACGTGGCAACTTCGGGCAAGCAGGTTTTGGGCCGACGTAATAACGACCAAAATTGATTGCTGGGTAGACAACAGATAATGTGTTAGGGTTATCCATTCATTTATTCCATCAACAAAAGTAATATTTTCTCATTCTGAACTAACTGACACATCTCACTTGAACTGAACTGAATCAGTTGACATGCATTGTACATATATAATGTATGTCATTCGAAAGAACGATTCAGTTGAGTTCTAGTGAAATATTTCAGTTAGTTCATATTGAAAGAATATTACTAAGATCTCGCTCTTTGAGTCGAAATCTCGCTCGTTTTTGACAGCATAGGTCGCTCGAAAAAACATTGTCTGTGGCAACACTGCCCAGCAAACATTTTGATATGGGGCATCAATGGCCTAATATATTTTTCCCATACCTGACATCAGCGGCCCAGTAAATGGTCCCATATGCGGGACTCTATATATCAGTACACTGCGGCCGACAGCTAGCTGGTCTCAGTGCTGGGTACCCAGCAAACATATTCAGTTCCCCGACAAAAGGCCAGTACAATATAATCGACACATCGAGTTTCCCATAGCAAGCCCAGCATATACATAAATGATGGGACTGTAATGGCCAATTATTGACTTGGATACATACTATCCAGGTAGGGGAGAGGTAGGGGTTTTAGGGGTCCAATGAATCTGAAAGTTCTAGTAACTCTTTATTCTACAATATAACCCTCTCATCATACCAGATTTCATGAAAACAATTTTATGAATGACACAATGATATCTTCTTAACCTCTCTGTTCTTCAACGATGAAACTTCTCGGAATGACTGCTTACTGTTTGGTATGTGGTATCTACATCTTATTGGGTAGCATTCCTTCAAAGTCGATTCTTCGTTTTAAGGAACTTCTGAAATATAAAATGCATCATTTGTTTAAATAAGTGGCCTATGAGTTGCATGAGTTTATATCTTGATAATATAGTCTGATGACGTGATAACATCAATCAATTTATTCTCATTATTTTCTTGGCACAGGTATTTCTGTAGCTGAAACCTTATTGTTATTTAGTTCTTTAATATAGACATGTATAGGTTCACATAACCTCAAATTGCTTTTGATAGCAACAAACGAGTTAAAAATGATAGTTGCTTTTAGAGAAGTATAGCCCACTCCAATTATTATGATCATTAGGTATATGAGGTTACGAGATACCAAACACATGCATTTAATAATGAAATTCGAAACACTATTTAGGTAGATTGATACTTACACAATATTATCATAATTGAAGAATCTGTCTTCTATCATTATCAATTGAGAATACTCCTGCCATTATAAATAAACACCAGGGAAAGAGAGGAGCACAATAATTCATCGACATAAACAAACTAGTACGCGATCACCACTCACGACAGTCAGCCATCTTAGTCACATTTAATATTGATCAGCTGATTGTTGATGTAGACGTTCCCAGAACTTCCACCAGGGGGACGAGTAGCGAACATGAAATTGGCCAGCAAAGGGCCATATCTCGTAAGCATTCAATTAGTTCCAGACATCTTACCATCACAAGGCCATCATCGTATTTTCAACTGATGGTTACTTAGCATAGGAAAATCATCGGCCCATTACCAATACCCCGGCATCGTCACTTTCCCAGACTAGCCTGCACTAGGCCGGACTTCTCCCGCTAGTTCAATGTTTGCTGGGTGTTCATCAGTAGTCGTATAATCCTTGATCCGTACACCCCTTCCAGGCCGGAAACGGACGTGCGCGTCATCGTGGTGACCGACGGCGAGCGCATCCTCGGCCTGGGCGACCAGGGCGCCTGCGGCATGGGCATCCCCATCGGCAAGCTGGCGCTGTACACCGCTCTGGCCGGCATCAAGCCGCACCAGTGCCTGCCCGTCACCATCGACGTGGGCACCAACAACGAGAGCCACCTGAACGACCCGCTCTACATCGGGCTCAGGCAGGAGCGGGTGCGAGGGAGCAAGTACGACGAGCTGATCGAAGAGTTCATGCGGGCGGTGGTGCGCCGGTACGGCCAGAACACGCTGATCCAGTTCGAGGACTTCGGGAACGCGAACGCTTTCAGGTATAGATCAGTGCTGAAGCCTTTGAAAACAGTAAAAAGTGGAAAACAATAGTTGGATGAAACTCATTGGAAAAGAAAGAGAATATTTAACAAAGATGAAAGGGTAAATAAATTACGGGTGATCTGAGGGGTCGGAATGTGGTAGGGGGTGAGCTTTATGAAAAAAAAAAAATGAATGACAAAGTTATAGATAATTAAGAGATCTCTAACTTTTATATCCACATTATTCTCACATAACCTCTAAATTGATGTGAACATTCCAAATATCCAAGTTTGTCGTTTGAAAAAAATATTAACGAAATTTGGAGAAAACTCATGTCTCAAATACACTTTAATATTTTGATTTGAAATATTCATTTATTCACCTTATTTTGACTTGATATCAAATGAATTGAAAGTAAAAAAATTTCAAATGAAGAGCTTTTATTTGAACGCTCTGAAAAGAATAAATTGAAAAGTTTCTTTAAAATTTCAACTTTCAACTGATAACCTCATTATACACGATTGATATGATCCTAAAAACTTGTCGCGATTATCAATATTCTATTAAATTAAAATTTTACAAAATTAAATTATTACTAGTTTATTCACACAAGTAAATCGTGCGACAAGCTTTTATGATCATATACATTGTGTATAATGAGGTTATTAGTTGATAGTTGAATTTATAAAGGAACATTTTATTTTATTATTTTTATATGAGCGTTAAATGAAAGCTTTTTATTTGAAGAATTTTTTTACTTCTGATTTATTTTTCAATTTTTAGTTATCGCTGGCTAGGTTTCTCAGTCTGTTCATTTCATCCAAATTATCATTGTAAGAAGGTGATTTGCCGGTTAATTTCGAAAAGTCCAGCTGTTCAATAAGGATACCTTCTGATTACATTATTTTCCGAGTTATACTCTCAACGAGCCGTTGCATTTGATACCCATATTGTAAATGTAGATTAAAATAACTATTCTGTCATCTTGGTTGGTCTGCCATATTGGATTCAGAATAACGTCACATTATTTTCCGAGTTGCTCTCAACGAGCCCTTTCATTTGATATCTATATTAATTAAAAATAAATATTCCGCCATCTTGGATAGTCCGCCATATTGGATTTAGAATGACGTCACATTATTTTTTGAGTTACTCTCAACAAGCCCTTTCATTTGATACCCATATTGTAGTAGTGTATTGAAAATAACCATTACGCCGTCCTGGATGGTCCGCCATATTGGGTTTGAAATGACGTCACATTATTCTTCAAGTTACTCTCAATAAGTACTTTCATTTGATAGCCATATTGTGGAAGTGCATTAAAAATAACTATTTCGCCATCTTGGATGGTCCGCCATATTGGATTCAGAATGACGTAGCATTATTTTTTGAGTTACTCCCAACGAGCCCTTTCATTTGATACCCATATTGTAGAAGTGCATTAAAAATAACTATTCCGATATCTTGGATGGTTCGCCATATCGGATTTAGAATAACTTCTCACAACTTATCGTGCATTGTCATCCAAACTAAACGTGTATACATTTCAGCTCAATTGGTTGAGAATATCTACTTCAAAATTGAGTTCAAAGATTCCACCCCAACTAACATACATACATACATCTTTACATTGCAAGTTAAATAAAAGCTTTTAAAAAATTACCCTTATTTTTGATGGAAAATCATCGCATCAAAATATCTGCATTTACATAAGAGTCGATGGGCTTTTTGGATATAAACATCTAGCAGTAAATATAGGAATTCGATACTTGTTTTCGTTGTCTAAAGCATATATTCAAAGAAGTTTAATAGAAAATGAGTAATAATATTGAAGAAAAAATCGTATTTTTCTCGAAAACGGTGCGTCCTATTAAAATTTGAACAAGAATACCTTTTTTGTAGCAATTTGATCGGATGAAATGGAGAATTGAAACCACCTATTTAGAATGTTTTATGGGAAAACTAGTCCCAATGGTCTGGGCGAAAAAGATTTTCTGGGAATAATTTATTACTTATATAAACTTCTTCATAATTTAGCTTCATATTCAAACACTTTACTTCATTGTACTTGCCACTAGATAACTTATTTTGTATAATATGACAATCTGAATATTTTTCAAGGTCTTCATGATTACCTATTTTCTCATGATATTATTTCTCTACAGGTTATTAGAGAAATATCGCAATAGTTATTGTACTTTCAATGACGATATTCAAGGAACTGCAAGTGTTGCTGTTGCTGGAGTATTGGCTTCCCTGAGAATTACAAAATTGAAGCTATCCGATAATGTAATTGTATTCCAGGGAGCAGGAGAAGCTAATCTAGGTATGTGGAAATGACAATAACAGAATTATATTATAGCTTTCTGATTACTTTCTTATAATATATTAGGGTGTAGGTAGGCACCTAATACAAATGAAAGTAACCAACTAACTAACACAGTAGCTTCGTCAGGTGAAATACTGGTATAATGAAACAAACTAACCTTGGCTTGCCTAAACTTATATTAGTATCAAAAATCTTCGGTGAATGTGTAAGTCATGTGCTTGAATATGCTTGTGAATGTCTTACCCTCTGTCTCCTTCTGTACCTACCTCACTCACAAAAATGAAAAAAGTGGAGATTTTGTAAAATAGACTGTAGGCGGTTAGTGCCAGTATAAGTGCAAAAATGATATACAGGGTGTCCCTGAAAGGTCTGTACGTATTCTTAGCACATAGTCGTGAGGTCAAAATAAGCTGATTTTAAGCAACTCACTTCAGCCCGAAATTGCTCCGTTTCCTAGATACAGGGAGGTTCATTTAAAAAATAAAAATCGACAAGTACCTACACTACAAAAGAGTATTTTGAAAATTCTATTTTTACACTGCTCAAATTAAATCCACGAAGATAACAGCAAACATTTTTTATTCAAGATAATTTAAATATTCCGATGCGGCACCGAACATTAAAAACTGAAATATCTCCAAAACGGCTTACTTTAGCGAATTTTCACAGTTGTACCTTTTTTGCTTTAAAATATTCAGAAAATTATTTCCTCAACAAAGAAATTGAAAACTACAGTGAGCAATTTTGGACTGAGGTAAAGTTGCTTTATATCGACTCATTTTGACCTCAGTAGTATGTGCTGAGATTTTGTGCAGACTTTTAGGGACAACCTGTATAAACACAGTGAAAAACAAGAGGATATTCCACTGAATTTGTAATTTGTATCTGTATCCCTAAACAAGTGTGCAGGAGCTGCGTAATCTGTGAATCTGAGTCAAAGCGTGCTGCTGTCAGGAGAGTGGATTATGAATCAAGTGGATTGAGCCATCCTCTTCAGATAAAGTTGATTATCCTCGGACACAAGATACTATTCTTGCCTCTCCCACCTCTACCACTTCCCTGGATGCTAAAGCAATGACAGCTAACTTAACGTTTGTAGTTTCTTTGTCTATGACGTGTCAGGGTTAGTGAGTTAGATCTGGATCAGGTTTTTATGCTTCTCCCTCTGTTTTCTACACAAAGAAAAAATAAAGAAAAAAGAAGGAACTTAAAAATGTATCATCACCTATCTACATATTTTCATCTTTTGGATGCTCCACATTTTGTATCTTCTTGAAAGTTTCAGATGGGCGTTGGGCCCGTTTACTATTTATATCATTCATTTAGTTTTTCCCATACTTACACATAGAAAAGAAATGTTAGTTCGTTTCAATGTTAGGTAGGTACTTTCCAATATAGCATTCCTAGGCTAGGATGTTGGACTCTGAGTAACGTTGAACTTCTACCAAAGTATAATACGACAAGAATATAGAAAAATGTCTGCTGTGCCCATATTTATGCTGTTAGATACCTTGATAAATAACTACTATCTTGAATCGATACATATCACAGAGGCGAATATTCTCTCACTCCGGTGATACGATAGGCCTTCAGATCGTGAATTGACTCATCGGCTGTGATGATATATTTAGGACCTCCACAGTTTCACCAACTTTCTATAATTTACAGTGTAATAAATCATTGTAATTGATTAAATATGCTAATCCTCTCATCAAATCAGATAACATTATGGTGAAGATGTATGCAAATAGGAAATCATTATGATACACGCGACAGACAATGAAAAACATTTATTTGATATTAGTTTAGATAACAAAGAAAATCGCAAATCACTCATTTAAGTGTCATACTGAATAATATATAGATACTTTTATAGTATTCGAGATATTTCTCAGAGATTGTTGATTGCGCATAAGTATTTATGACATGAGTAAATATTTTGATAGATATGAATCTTGTATCTTCTCGATAACAAAATAATCAATACTTACCTTTACGATTATAGCGGTTGTTCAAAAAAATCTAATGATAGTTTTCAATAGATGGTACTCGAAAAGATGCACACACTTCTGCAATTGTAGAATGCTAATTTTCTCAATAATGGAAAGGAAGCCATTATACTCTCTATTCATTCTAGAGAGGTGGCTCAGTCATGAGATCTAGTTCGTCTGGTATAGCGTGCTTAATTTTAGATATATACTTTCGCGAGATATATAAGTTGTGTTTGAAGACAAGACTGTTGCAGTCTTCACATTACTGCTCTATTTTCATTATAAAATGAACGATCCCACAAACAAAACTTTCATAGTCCTCCGCCTAGTTTAATGGAATCAAAGGGAAATTGAAAGTTGTTAGTTTCAGAGCAATTTTAGAGATACCAGCACACTACATTTTTACCAGCAAAAATAAAATTGAAGTATTTTATACGACGTATACAGGGTGTCCCATAAGTCATGGATCAAAAGAAGTGGGGTGGTAGAGGGGGTCAACTTTTTCTAATATAAATGGTTATCTTTGTGGGTTAGTATTTAAATCTGCCAGCAACATCAAAAAATCAGCTGAATTAAATATTTCATTCAACAAAAACAACATTTTTCTCAATTGATAGAAAGTAAAACACAGGCCATAAAATATTTCTGGGAAACGGTTGTAATAAAATATCCTCAAGGAAAGTTTCAGGTCGCGAAATGAATCGCTTATGGAAACTATGTGGTTTTATTGTCAATCACTCACCAACGTGTGGTCATGTCGTCATGTAATGTGGTTTATGAAATCTGGAAGATGTACATAAGGCACCATTCGAATACGTGAATAATATAAAGAGTAACTATACTTCACCTGGCACTAAGTCGGTACAAAACAACACTTTATATAAAAGTAATATTCACAAACACTGTAACTAAGAGCTACCATCAATCACTAATGACTACAAAATCAAAAAGACGGGCTCGAATAAACGATACCAAGTACGTGTTTTGCCTTAGCGCCACAAAAACAAGGGATAATCTATTTGAAATTTTCCAAATGAACATCCTTCCTCCATCTATCGGATTACCAAGAAAGCAATAGCGAATTATAGGTAGGTAACTGACACAAACATTGATTCCTCAGAAAATGCACGACTTATACAGAGTGTTCTGCTTCATGGTACATATATCCATGCGGATGAAATTTATAAAAAAAAATCACAAATGTGACATAGTTTCATTGTGATTAATTTTTTTATAGAAATGAAAAAAAAAAGCTTTTATACCATCAAAAATTGGATAACCATATAAACGGTTATAGTTTGATTGGAAATTATACCACTCCACTTCTTTTGATCCATGACTTATGGGTCACCCTGTATATGTATATTTCTCTCCAGTTCAATTCATATTTTCTGAAGCTCGTGGTGAATATACGAGGTGATTCAGTGGCAAGTACCATGAATTGAAGTGCTTGTAGACGTATCTACATCATGAAAAAAAATTGAATTCATTTTACTCTGAATATATCTGATTATTGAAATATAGGGTGTTCAAGGGTCGGCTGATTTATTAACAGTTTCTTCATTGATATTTAGGGTGTTTGGTTCACCTACTTATAAATAAATGAAGGGGGTGATATATAAGAATATTTTGAATATATTCAATAATTTTACCGAATTTGATGAATAGGTATTTATATAAGTAGTATAAGTTATAATAAAAGTTATGTCGAATAACACGCCGACGCCGAAGGCGGAGTGATCCTCCGAACAAGATAAAATCACTTAGCAGATATTATATCATACATTATTTTTTCTACAAAACCCATTAAAAATCCAAATTAACGCATATATACCTACCTATTTTTCATTAATTAATTGATAAAATAATAGCCTCGAGATTATCAGTTTTGAATCCAATTCCATCTAACCTATTCATGAAACAAGTTGCCAAGGTGAACGGAAACAGAATATGTTGATTTGTCTTTGTTGACAAATAACGTCAATAAATCACGAATTATTCTTTCTCGTTTCTCCGTTCCTCGATGGAAAGTGATCAAGAAAATGAATTTCTTCCGCCGGAAATTGAAGAAGCTGCCAATAAAGCTGCTTTTGAATTATTGCCTGGTAAGTCAAAGCGACAGTACGAGTTTTCATACGATCATTCCTTGAAATGGTGTGACCAGAAAAATGTCAGTGGCAAGGAAGCCGGTGAAAAAGTGCTTCTTGCATACGAAGAAAAGTCCAAAATATGGAAATCGTCAACTCACTGGTCGAATGTTGAAATCGATGAAGAACATAAATAATCATGATATAAGCAGATATTACAAGCTTGTGGCGTTTTTGAAGCGAAAGGGTGAAGGATATCACCCGAAAAAGTCAAAATTATTGACAAGGGAACAAATCGACAAATTTCTCGCAGAAGCCCCGGATTTTAGTTTGACACTGAGAAAGAAAGTGTCACTGACAAGATATTGGATTTTTCTTTTAGGCTTGTATCGATTTATATTTGGCGGTCTAACTAACTACAGAAATCAAAAAGATGTTGGGTGTTACCAAGGATCGAAACACAAAGTCGTCTCCACAATTTTAATAGTGATCAAATTATTGAATCACATCACCGTACATGTTTCCAGCCCATACATACAAAAGTGTGGAAATTCCACTAAACTATATGAAGTTACAATTACTCAATACTATGAAGTAGTCCACCTTGTATAATTTCACAGAGTGGACCAATTATTTTGTTTTTTTTGTGCTGTTTCAAACTGAGCAGGCATTGGTGCAACAGAATAACACATGGTGTAGATTACGGAGTCGAATGACACAAATGTGTATAGCCCACTGCCTATACAGGGCGGAATTAAAAATTTTGCATTTCGGACCCCCGTGTTATCTAGCTATCTTCCTACTTCGTAAAAGTAGAAACTGCTTATTGAACATTTTTTTCACATAGAATCCAGTGGCGTAGTCAGATTTTCAAAATAAGGTGTTAATATTCAGATATAACTTATATCCCAACCATTTCTAATTTTCCGTAGTTTTTATATCCTGATTGGTATACGCATCGCCACCTACTAGTAGGGTTCACAGCTTTTGAAGTCGATAATGAATAGTAGTTAATAAAACTAAAGAAACACTCTTCTATAGATAGCCAAACTATGTTGATAAATATTCACACAATATAGAAAATATTAACACCTCCGTGATCAGTACATTCCATGAAACTTTTGGACAAAATTAGTTGAAATGAGAAAATAAATTCTCAGTTGACAAGAAATCTATATTTTCATAAAATTTTGAGATGTATCATTGAATGTACGTGACAGTAAATGTCACTAAAATAAATGTCAATTTTTCATTCGACACCTCATATAATTTCTGTGTGCTGCTAAAAAATTGAGATATTCAAACAGCAGGCCATCATCGTTATGTTGAACACACGACAATGATTCACATATACTATGATTGCTCCATAACATTTGAAAAGGTGATCTTGTCATATTCATCTCCTTATAAATAAAACTTGATATGAATTACATCTTGAATTGATGTCAAGGAACAAAAAGTAGAGGTTCGCATTTTGTGTGTTGGGCATATTGATGACCAGTTTGAACATTATAATTTTATTCATAGTACACTTTTAAATCACATGCGTTGTCGAAATATCTGACAAATCAAACACTGAGGTTTATTTCAGTGACATATACTGTCACATGCGATGATACATCTCAAAATTCTATGAACATATCTATTTCTTGTCAACTGGGCCAATACTTGTCATTCATCATTGTATGCAGAAAAAAACCTCAAACAGAAACAGAAAATACGGTGTGCCATTTAAAAGAAGAAAATGGACCGCTCACGTTACAGTTGAAATTCGAAAAAATAATAATCACAGCCTATCTGATTGGTCATTATGGCTTGGGGCTTTTTTTGTCCGCCTGTATATCTCTCCAAAGCCATAAAGACAATCGAAATATCTAGCAAAAGTATAAAAAATCAGACATATTATGTACTTACCTGCCATTGAAACACGAATTTCTATTGCCTCACCCCAGGAATCGCCCAGCTCTGCACCATGGCGATGGTGGCCGAGGGCACCTCCGAAGCGGACGCCCGCAAAAAGATCTGGATGGTCGACTCCAAGGGCCTCATCGTGAAGGACCGGCCCGAGGGCGGCATCAGCGGCCACAAGCAGCACTACGCGCACGCGCACTCGCCCGTCAAGTCACTCGCGGACGTGGTGAAGACCCTCAAGCCGACCATCCTGATCGGGGCGGCCGCCGTAGGGGGCGCTTTCACCACGGAGATCCTGCAAGAGATGGCCAGGAACAACAAGAGGCCGGTCATATTCGCGCTGAGCAACCCCACCACCAAGGCGGAGTGCACCGCCGAAGAGGCCTACAGGGCGACGAATGTAAGTGAAGGCAGTTTCAATTCGCGATAGAAAAAACACGTCGCCCCACCTGACGGCAGCAACTTGAACATTGAACACTTCTGAGCGGTTTGTTTTGATGAATAAATTGAAAATATCAATTTTAGCTTTCAATGAAAGTTAATACCAAAGAATAGTAGGTTCACCTCTCCTCTTTGTCAATACTGTCCATAATTGAGGAGCGATTAGCCAAAAGCAGATAAATCCATTTAATAAAGTTTTGAGATAATGGCAAAAAACCGTCCATTAGAGCGTCCGTAACTTTAATGAAAAAAATAAATGTTGTAACTGAAATATGATGATAGTGACCTCATAAATACTGTTTTCGTTTTTTTTTTATGATTAACATAGTAATTATTGCAAACTATAAAATGGATTTATCTGTTTTTGCTTGAGTTAACTGATTTTATGATGTAAAAAGTGTTTATTTCGATATAAATATTTTCAATACCAAATCTGTCAATTTTATTTATTTATTTATTTTTATTTTCCATTTATCCCTTTTTGGGGTTCGAAACAGACCAATGCCATTCAATTTTTGGGATTTATCTGGTTTTGCTTGAATTGCTCGACTTTGAGGTCGATTTTGAATGGGATTTAACGAGTTATGGCTGAAACTGATTGCGCCATCGGGTTTATCTCATCAAATGAAATAGGAATCGATCATAAAATCATTCTTGCCCAAAAGTGGATTTATCTGGTTTTGGCTGATCGCTCCTCAATTATGGGACTAGACAATTGAATTTGATAGCAAATACATTCAAGTCAAACAATCTGTTTTTCCGTCGACCTCGTATTAACGACTAAGTTTAATGTATATGAAATCGTTCATTAATGACCCCTATTAATGGACGATTTGTCTATTAATGCACGATTGTTTTATAGGCAACCAAACATACACCGCGTGCATTCATTGTTTATATGCTATAACTAGCGGGTTCGCCTTTCCAAGTTTCTGACACGATTTTAGTCCCTGTTTTCTAACACAGGGAATTTATTTCCTATGTTGATCATTTCGACAAATGTCAAATGACACTAATGTCAGTAACAAGGCTACTGGGTGATTCTTAGCAGTTTCCGGATGGATGATGAATTCGCGATCCAAGTTTTCTTCATTGCAGGAGAAATGAGAAATATAGTCGACGGAAAAATTTTGTAACCAACTTGTATATTAAAAGGCGATTAATCATCTCGAACATTAACGCACTCGCTTCACTTGCACGTTGAAATATCTCGATCATTAATCACCCTCATTAATACACTAGTTGGTTAAATAACTATTTCACAATGGAATAATTTTATACAATTCATTACCGAATGAGTTGAAAAATATACATGATGCAAGAAGGTTTAAAATCAATCTCAAAAAATACTTGCTCAGGACAATTTGAATGAAAAATATGTGGCATGATTTGATTACTTAAAAATGAAATATAACTTCAATCTTAACAAACAATATTAATTCGTTTCCACTGAGTGGAATTCATTAGTTAACCCTTTATTATTATTTTTTATATGTATTCATGTATCCCTATCATAAACAGTAATGTTTCTTGGGGTAATAAAGACAATCAATCAATCAATCAATGATATGACCAATTAGCACAAACAAAAAACAAATGCGAACCAATGAAAACAAAGTAAACATGCCGCCTTGACAGCTTTTAAGAACTCTGATAGGTATCGTACGCTCATTTTCTATCGCGAATACTTTCTGTTAGAGCGCAAGATTTTACTAGCGCCTGCAGACAGGAGGAAAGAAATAATCCATAGGTGAAGAAACCCAAAGTCAACTCCACAAAATTTATATGAAGGATCAGAGATCCATCATGCATTACATGTTTCGGGTTTATATATGCCCATCATCAGCCGATTACAAGATGAAAGTTCTAGAAAAACCAACAATAACTCAGGATACAGATACAAAAATGATGGCTAACATTATGTAATGTCCACCAAAACGCACCATTGAAACGTGAGGTCAGGGTTGATAAACCTGATGAATATATACTTCTCATTTTCGTGCCATTTGTCGGTTTAAGGCTTGCGATAACTTAAGGTTTTCTGTTTGCTCAAATATTCAACATCATTTTTTTCGAATAATTCTGATAGAACAGGCCTTCAGGGCTATCCGCCAAAATTTTGGGATTTTTGACTTTGACACTGACCTCACGTTCTAGTAGCGCCAACTGGTGAGAGTGGAAATGTTAGCCCTCACTACTTACTCACATAAAAAAGAACAAAGCAAAAGGTTATTTGATGATGTTTGCTTTTTTCATTCAAAAAGTGAGAAGTAATCATTGTATCTATATTTGGTTTTTCTAGAACTAATAACTTGTAATCGGCTCATATATAAACCAAAAACATGTAGTGCATGATGGGTCTCTGATCCTTCAATAGTTATTTATGTATCAAGGACAAAACACTGTCGATTATAGTCGAGTCAATTTCCCGGTCCTACTCACACGTGAAATCTATCGGATTTCGTGAATAATTATTTGACAACAGCAAATGACAGATGTCAACTCACTTTGCGCGCGGACGAAGGTTGCCAGTTCGATTTTTATTTCATCAGTAAATACCTTGTCAAAAATTCAGTAGATTTCAATAGATCTGTTCAAGATCTATCTTATGCTATGCGAATTCCAAGAAAGAATAATGAAATACTGTTCTGGGTAGAGGTTATCTCGTTTGGCTTCAAGAGCTTATAGCTTCTTTTAATGGGCATAACGGACCTTGGACCAAGGACATTAATTGTTCAGCATGATTTGATCTATCCAATCCTAGATTTTCACAAAATTTCACCGTAGACAAGATTTCAGTGTAAATAGTGCGGGGTCCTTTAGGTCCTTCAGATAGTGAAATTTCAAACTGATTTTTCCTACTACTACAACTAAGATCTAGAGAAGTTCAGCTATTGTGTTAAAAAAAAAATATAGCTCCATTCTGTCGATCTTCGATCAGGTTTTGATTGACATCATTGTTCCACCGTAACATAATGAAAAATGTGTGTTGGCTACACACCAGGACATGAAAAGAACGATTTCTGTGATGGAGTCTGATATAGCTATGACATTTCTTACCTTTCTATACTTGTTATTGTATATACGGTATTATAACCTATGTTATGCTGTGTTTTGTTAAATTCTCTAGGAAATGACATGAACATTTTTGCTTTCAGGGTACAGCCATATTTGCCAGTGGCAGTCCATTTGACCCTGTTACACTGAATGGAAAAACATTTCATCCTGGACAAGGAAATAATTCTTATATTTTCCCAGGAGTTGGATTAGCTGCCGTATGTGCTGGAATTAGAAACATTGGAGAAGATCACTTTTTGATTGCAGCAGAGGTAATAAGAAAGAAATATGTTATATTTTCAAATTACATATTTCAAAATTTGAAATTGCATTGAAATAACTCTTTATTTCATTATGAAATAGATAAAATTCAAATTCCGAGTATTTTCGGAGATAGACGAACAAAACAAAATTTTGGTATATCATCTACATTTTTTTGCGTTATTTGATATTGAAATATATCAAAATTGAGAGAATAACAAATAACGCCAGAAAAAATAACTACCAAAATCTCAGTTTTTTTCGTAGAGGTATCTCCGAAAATAATCGGAATTTGGGAATTCTCTTGACGGCATATTTTTAGTCAAATAAAATGAGCAAGTTTGCCCTAATTAAACCATGTAAATGGTGTCCCTTGAAGTTGAATTACCCAATATAGTTCATTTGAGAAATACATTCAAGTTCTATTTTCAATCACACCCTTATAATCAACTTTCAAAATACCTATAACATCATATTATTATTTAATATATTTGTTTCAGGCGTTGTGTAATTTGGTAACAGAAGAAGATTTGGAGAAAGGAAGTATATACCCTCCGCTTTCTGATATTTTGAATTGTTCAGTTGAAATAGCAGTCAAGATTGTTGACTATTCCTACAAAAAAGGTTCGTTCATCACATGTTTCTTAAAATTAATAGTATTTTGATCCGACTCCTCATAAACATAATATCTTCTTAATGGGTTCATAATATACATCTTACACATCATTCAAACTACTATCATGTCATACCATATTGAATAAACCTTCGAAAAATTGTTCTTCACCATATGATCATAAAAACACCCTGTATTAGGAAATCCGGGAAAATACTTGGTCCACATACACCTACAGGAACTCTATATTGATATGATCAGATTCCTAATAAGAGGATTAAGAGGAAGTATGTTAAGAGCTCTTGATCTCCTAAAACCAAGGATATATGGCACTTATTCGAAAAGTTTATATTAATGGCATTCTCCACAAAAACCGATGTGTTAGAGAGAGATAGTATAGATTTTCAATAGAGAGAAATGCAAACGTCTTTTTCGAATATGTGTGAATTACCGTTGATTTCAGGAGATTGAAAGCTCATGAAATCCATAATAAAAACTAAAGATATATCCTTTAAATAAAAACAAAGTTGGTGATGGCAGCTCAAAGGCGAAACGCCGGTTTGAAAATCTGATAACACCATCTTGTAGAACAGAAAAAGTACCAATGAGAATGTGTGATTTGTTTAGTCACATCTACAAATTGAATCAGAAAAAATAAAATGAAATCGCGTATATACGGTTTTTCCAAAAATCTTCGAAAGTATTTGGAATTTTTCAACCCTCTCTGTAGCTATTACCGTTTCCGAAATCCCCATGCATCTACTCGAATTTCACTCACCCGGTAGGGTATTTACTATAATACTACAGACCCAATCTACTCAGTACAACGGTCTATCGTTCTTGGTACAACGGTACATTTTGCATTACAAAAAACGCAAAGGAACCCGCACGAAAACACGGGAAATTGGCTCTTGGTCGAATTGGCTGAAATTATACTATGTTGTTGTGGGATGGCTCATTAGAAAAATATGAGAGTTTGAAAAGTTTTGTATGGTTAGTTTCTGAGATATAAGCCGACAAAGTTCGTAAAAACGTCGTATCGGGGTAGGATTGACAAAGAAAAAAACTGTTTTTTTAGTATAAATAAGACAAAATAAGCTAGAAAATGTATTGATCGGAACTCAAATACATGTCTAGTTATGATCACAAAAATTATAGTAAATCAGGGTGTATACGAGGCACGGTCAAAAAATTCATTTTTCGGAAAAAAAAAATTCGAGCACTGTTCCAAAACCAACAAGTCATATTTTGGTGAGACATTATAGTTCCAGTCTATTGTAGGCTTCGAAAACTTATTTTCAGTCTTGATAAATATCTCTGTTCGAAATATGAATTCTGTGAATTTTGTGTTATACCCCTTTTGGAAAACAATGGACAGCATGCTTTTGATCACAAGAAAGGGATTGATTGATACTGTTGATTTATTGAAAGCTGAGGTAATTCACTAGCGGATTCAGTTGTTCAATATTTACTTTCATTTAGATACAGGGTGTGTTAGATTTTGTTGGAGATTATTTAACATGTTTCAATAGAATATCTCAGAAACAGTTCCGTTAATTTGGATCTCATTTTACTCACACTATTTTGAATATGTTGACTATCATATGCAAAAAGTTTTTCAATTTCTTATGTTTTGTTTCTCAGATATGCATTTTTGAGTTTACAGTATTTCAAGTATTATAGGGTTATTATACCTCGGATATTACTATTGATTCAACAGAAAGTTACGGAATCCATACTGTTGAGTTTCATATTGTTTTTCAAAGTGGTTCGTGTTGTTTATAGTAACAAATTATTGATCTCTAATAGTTTCATAATGTAATTGAATGTTTGAAAGATTTCGTAATGTTCTGTTGAATCGATAGTAATATCCGAGGTAATAACCCTATAATATTAAAGAAACGAAACATAAAAACTTTTCGCATATTCAAAATAGTGTCAGTAAAATGAGATCCAAATTAACGGAACTGTTTTTGAGATATTCAATTGGAACATGTTAAATAATCTCCAACAAAATCTAACACACCCTGTATCGAAATGAAAGGCAATAGTTATCAAGAATCAAAATACGTTTTCGAAGCCTACAATAGACTGAAACTATGATGTCCCACCAAAATATGACTTATTGGTTTTGGAATAGTGCTCGAATTTTTTTTCCGAAAAATGAATTTTTTGACCGTGCCTCGTATGCACCCAGATTTACTATAATTTATGTGATCATAACTAGACATGTGAGTTCCGATCAATACATTTTCTAGCTTATTTTGTCTCATTTAAACTAAAAAAACAGTTTTTTTCTTTTGTCAATCCTACCCTGATACGACGACGTTTTTACGAACTTTGTCGGCTCTTATATCTCAGAAACTAAACACACAAAACTTTTTAAACTCTAATGAGCCATATCCCACAACAACATAGTAAAATTTCAGCCAATTCGACCGAGAGCCAATTTCCCGTGTTTTCGTGCGGGGTCCTTTTCAAATTAGCTAGGCCAGGCTCTGAGGTAGTATAATTTATTAATGCATGAACGCGTATTTAGGAGTTTCTAAATCTACTGTACAGGGTGGGCCGAATTCGACACTATTAAATGGAAAGTCCTATTCTCGAACCATCAGATGGCAGGAAACTGATGTCGGTGCCTGAGGTTCGATTCTCATGAAAAACTCAATGATGTCTTCGTTTCGGAGTCACAAGGTGTTCTTCGATAATGGGCATCTTCGAAAAGTGGCTATACAGATATTTTTTTGGCAAAAATTGTCTGTTCTTATGAAAATAACTGCAAAGCATTGAGTCTGTGATAAAAATTGTTCTCGAGGCACTGAAAAATCGTCCTTCCAATATCTAGTTCAAGAATATTTACTTGTAAAGAGATGCTCTATTTGGCAACAAGGTGTATACGGTGACTGATTTTAGTGCCTGCATGAGGATCAATTATTTCCATGAGGAACACAATGATTTGAAAATATTTTCATGAAAAAGAAGACCTTTTGACGAAAAAAAAGTTTTAGCCACTGTAACTCTGAAATAAATATAGATATCGATATGCGGTTTTCACCTTTGAGTTTATCACGTGAATTATTGATCAACAGGCACCGACATCAGTATTTTTCTATCTTGTACGGGAATAGGACTCCCTTTAAAAGTGCCCAATTATTGGCCCACCTTGTACACGCATACAACGTCAAATGGAGATGGGTGATGGGTTACAATTAAAATTTATAATACAGTAGACCCAAAATATCTATTCAATCATGTTTGCTCAAAGTGGAGTGGGATTTATTTTCGATTTTTCATAGGGAGGAAGGAAAGCTCAGTCTTCTCTACACTGGGAATCGCAATTTAAACTCAAGTATATCTGGGAGAAAGTAGAGGCACATTGATGCCTTTATAAATTATAGGTACTATGCAGAGCTTGACCGCCGCGCTTTACATTAGTATGGTTAGAAATTTGAAAAATTGCATTTTTCCTATTGCGAAATGCGTATACCTGCTGTTGGGCCTGCATAGTAGTATAGTAAATACGCCACCCGGTGGGTACTTAACATATACTCTTTGAGACATTATTCATGACTTAACATCAGTTCATCAGAAACCCAGGCAAAATTTATGAGACATATGCTCCATACAACTAATTTGATATTTTTTAGGTAATACAACTGTTTTACCAAAACCTGAAGACACAAAAACATTCGTCAAGGCGCAAATGTACAACACACAATATCAACCAGCAATTCCAGCAACGTACCCAATTCCAAACCAATAGCTGAATGATGCTTGTTCTTGAAGAATCAAAATCTGAAAATTTGAATGCAAAGTCTTATTGGCTATATTATACTATAGGTGATATAATAAAATGTGGGAGAGCAATTTAAAACTTTTGTAAGTTTCGTGAATATTTTACTTATTTATTAATATTTGATAGTTTATAACATTATATATTTTATTTGGTTAGAATAAAATTGACAGGAGAGAATGATTTTTCAATTTTTCCAATACCGATAACCTTTTGTATATGTATTCCCCATAACGACTATTCTATTTCTCTATCTTTGCAAATTTGTGGATTGTAGCATAGATTTAATCTATGATTGTAGTTATTCATTTATTTCATCATTACTTCCAGTTGAAAACAAGTTCTGATATAAAAACAAAAAAGTTAATGATAGGTGACAAATTCATTACCATGCAATATAATACATTTGAATATATTATACAGTATGGTGCAAATGAAAGAAATACATCAATCATTTCCAGCCAAACTGTCGTCGATTTTTATTTTCATTTTTCCACATTCATAACTAAAATCCAGATATACACGACGGTGATCCACATTTGAGTGCTGACGTCCGCGAGAATTTTATCAAATGGAACACTATATGAGTATACCTATACCTATATTGATATATAAATGTGGAAAATTGAAAATTAAAATCAACCTGCTTTAGGAGATTCCATAAAAATGATAAATCAGCTGAGAATGAATGTATCCACTACCTACTTCACAAGTGCTCTCAATTCAACGGACGCACTATTATACAAATATAATATATATTTTCAAATTCAGCTTCTCATGAATATGTTTAATTTGAATTTGTCGCGGACGTCAGAACTCGGGTCAACTTATGTCGCTGTATATTCAATTTCCGCCTGAAAATATGGTACATTGAAAATAAAAATCGACATGTTTCAGGAAATTTCTGTAGAATAGAGAGTTTGGCGCTAGAAATTAATTGTATTCCTTTCATTTGCTATTTAATACTATAAGTTCAAAAACATGAATCATATTCATCTATTTCCTTCAGAAATGATAAGTTTCTCTTGCATTCATATTTGGACTTCATTATATTACTTCATTTTCTTATTGTATGATATTTTTTCAATATTCAAATACAACATGATGAGTGACTCTTTTGTCTTGTTGATTGGGTAACCAACAACAATAAGGTGGAAGAAAGTCATGTTGTCTACTTTGATGACCATGAATTTGAGTTTTTACTTTTTAAAATGAATTTCAATTTCTTTTTCATGATTTTGCATATTTTTTTCAACATCTCATCTAACGAAAATGTGTCTGTTATTTTATATAGGTAATTGTTATATCATATGGTTGATATAAATGCTTTCAATGACTTCCTACATAATCATGTAGAAACTTTTCTTGAAATTGTTTTCTGAACAGTATCTCCAGCTCCAAACATTCATCAAATAGTTATAGTTATGGGACATTTCTCAAAGCTCTAATTAATTGGAGATCCTTATTTTTTTTGTCATTACTTTCATGAGTTTGTACTACTTCCAATTCATCATTGAACAAAATCCCAAAATATGTTTTCTCATAAGAGAGATCAAAAACTCATATTTGGTTAATTTATTTCAGTTGAATATTTTTGAGGGATTTTTGTTTTCTCCTAAAAAAAAATGCGGAATAAGTAGTAGCAAACACAAAATGCAAGTAATTTGAATATTTATTGAATCTGTGCAAATAATATATACATAGTACCATTGTACAAATTACTATATGAATTCATTTCAGAATACTTACAAAATTACATTTCAAGACTAGATGGGCCATTAGGTACACATATTATATTTCTTTTTATTGTATTTATATTATATAATATAGCTATAATAATAATTGTCACATTTTCTCCAGGTAGCCTCTTGCAGATATCTCAACTCTCAATCACAGTAAAATATTAACAGTGTTGCTTAGGCCAAAATTACCCAAAATTATTTAAATTATGTGAATTATGCATTTGAATAGTTGCAAGTAGGACTAAAAATATAGTTTGGTAAGTATTCAATTCTTAGCCCTACTTTCTTTCAATATAATCTTCCTATTTCAGAAATCAAAATGATGTCAAAAAATTACATTTCACAATTTCCAATTAACTTTTTGTCTGTACCTATATTTATTGAACCAAGGCTATTTCTGAGTCATTCAATTTGTAAAATTCAATAAATAAATAATTCAATCCTATCTGTCATAGTAATATGATAAAATATCATATCCAAAGTTCAGAGTACCAATACACAATTTAATTAATACCTAATCTATGCATATATAGAACTCCAAAGTAAAGTTACCAATTCTGAATATATAATCAAGTAATGTTAGATACCTCACTGTTGAAGTTTTGTGGCTTTACTTAATATTACCATTGTTCAATAGATGTATTTTCATTTATGAGTTACAACCTTCACTATCACCAATTCAATGTACCTTATAAATAATATTTACATAATTGAGTTGATAATCCATGATTATCATAAATTAACATCTTTATAACTAACAACAAGATGACTTTGCAGGCTCAGCTTCCACTAAATTGAAATCTAAGCCATTAGGCCTAGCAAAACCAGTTTTTATACCATCCCAACCATCCTCAATTTTATATTCACCAGTTTGAATTCTATTATAGACTTCTTGTGTGACAGATCTAAATGCTTCTTCTACATTCATGCCATTTTTTGCTGATGTTTCTACATGAAACAATCCATATTGATCAGAGAAAGCCTTAGCTTCTTCTTTGGACACTTCTCTTTGCCCACCATTATTAATAAGATCTAGCTTACAGCCTACCAGTGCAAAAACTGGTCTGTGAGGTTCAATATGCCTTCTTGCCTCTGACATCCAGAGAGGAATATGTTCAAAGCTGGCTCGGTTACAGATATCATAAACTAAGAGAGCACCTACTGAATTTCTGTAGTATGATTTTGTTATGGACCTAAATCTTTCTTGTCCAGCAGTGTCCCACAATTGTAGCTTGATTCTAGTCCCATCTTTCACTTCTATCAGTCTGGCAAAGAAATCAACCCCTACAGTAGGATCTGAAAGCTGAACACACAGTCTCGTATACAGTATAAATAGAACAGATTAGTGAATCACCTCTGCGAATTTTCCATCAGTAAAATATTTCAACAAAGAACTTTTTCCCACTGTGCTGTCGCCTATCAATATTAAACGAAATTGATAATCAAAAATTGGTTCTACCATTTTATATCATCACGTGTAGAACTCGTGTAGAAAAATAAGTATTTATTAATAAAATAACTTCAAAGTAACAACTCAAATTATTATTATTTACTTTTTGATGAATTTACTTTTGACAATTGACGTTGACGTAAATGAGAGTGGCATACGGCAGACACGTGGCTACGTTCAGCGGCAGGTCGGACCATGGTCAATTCGTCTCAATTCGTTCAGACCGTAGTCAGACTATGGACCAGCCCGTGGTCCACGTAGTCTCATTTAAAAATCGGGCCAAGCACGGTCTTAATCGTTCAGTCCATTGTTTCCGTCAGTTATATTTGACATGAATTTATGACATGCAAATGCATTTGAATTTGAACGAATCTCTTCGCGGGTGAGATAACATGATGGCCAGCAAGTTCAAGAGATATTGCTCTGTGCCGCAGTGTAAACAGTATAAAGATACAAGAAGTATATACACAGCTTTTCAACCAGATGCAGAATCATACAAAATGTGGCAGAACATTTAAAAAAATAGGGGGAGCCCATTCCCGAATGTACGTCTGTCTGTAGTAGATACTTCTAAGAAACAGATTAGGTATAAAGGTAATTTCTTTCAATTTCTCATCTAATCAGTGTTTTATATAATGTTCTTTTCTTTCAGAGGGAAGCGATTCCAAATGTATATTTTTTGTGTAGCAGATATACGATACCCTCACAGAATTCACCGATTATACCTTGCACCAAAATGTAAAACCTGTGATTTATATGAATCTGAATGAAAATAAGTGTGGCATTTTGGTACAGAGCATAAATGTGTCTTCAATCATTCTCCAATCTATACCAACTATAACTTATAATGAGTAACAGGAATGAATATGATGACACAGATTCTGAAAGGATATAGGTAGACCTTCCTTACCAGTTTTCGTGAAACTTTCACCACGACTGATCATTATTGTTGTGAACATGCCAATGCATTTTCCATATAATAGACAAGCCAGTGCGATTTCGAATTTTCATACTTTCTCAGTAATAATAAATAATTCAACTACAACACCTAATTTTGTTTTATTCCAACATAATCTAGAATATGATTAACAATATGAATAATTTAAAACTCCATTTCATTCATTCTTTATATCATAGATTTTTGCAAATTCTTCATCAAAATCGATGCTGTTGTGTAAAGTAGTCTGTTGGAGAGGAATACAATATACACAATGAATACCATATATTATGTACTTTGTTCTTCAGATTCTTGATATCAATGAAATCTTCTCATATGTTGTTCTTCTTGCTCCGATGCTCCCTTGTGGAAATGTATGTAAGGCATATAATGGAAAACAAATAACATCAATTAATAATGTAAGTTAGAAATTATTTCATACTCACGTTCAAGTTTCTTTTCATCAACAGCAATTAAAGTTTCGTAGGAAAATACAACAGTTTCGTCAATCCTTGTCTTCATTAGTGAAAGCTATTGTAGGCTCTACTTCATATATATTGCCTGCTCTACAAGAACAAACACAATCATGCCCAATCGTTCGCTGGACGGCAACAATTTCAGAACAGCAGAAGTTTGCACAACCTGCCCAAGTGCCCAATAATCTCAAGTTTCTGTTTCTGTACACTTCTAACTTGACACGAATAACAATTCCAGGATGGTAATCTGTTCACCATTCACCATCGGCCGATATCTATTATCAATATATTCGAGAATGTCCACCGAATTGATTTCCACAAGCACCATCGTTCAAAAATCACTCTAACTACGTAAATTTCAAAATGAAAATGGAATTATCACATCATGACAGACAACTTTGACAGATACTATATACAACGTGACAAATACAAAACCGATGTCGTTCAGAACTCCTATGCTTGTTGTGGTCCGACTACGGTGGTCCAGACCTGCCGCTGAACGTAGCCACAGTTTTCTGGATATATCTGACATGGGACAATGGGTTTTGTTCCTACAGATTTCTTTTTTTTATCATCGAGTTTCATGGCAGCACCTTTAGATGGATACCACTGATACAGATATCTACAATATGGATAGGGAAATGGGAAATGCAAATGACATTTGCGCACATTCAAATTTCAAAATAAGGGTAAATTTTTAGGGTGCCCGGTGCCCCGCCCTTTATTGTAGCAAGTTTATGAAGGATGTTTTAATTTTTAATGATTCCTGCAATAAAATCATGGGGGATACCCTAGATATATGTGAAAGAATTGGAAATAATCTCTCAGAACTAGGAAAATGGTAAATCCACAAAATCAATACCTATATGTAGTTGAGGTAAGTAATATATGTCTATAACATTATAATATATTATTTTAGGCGGATATGGCAGAACATAATCCTGGGCCAGTTTTTATCTTTAATACTATGTGCCCTAAATACTCTTTCTCATTACATAAACTCCACATCAACTGCTACCAGTGTCTTACCAACAGGGCAATCTTTTCCTCATTACATGTTTCTGTGTGCCATTTATACCAGTTGGCTGGCCTTTCGAAGAGGTGACAAGGGATTGATATCCATAATAAAAGCGAGAGGTTGGAGATATCTATTGCTTTGTTTGATAGATGTACAAGCTAATACTTTGTTGAGTACAGCACACCAGTATACAACACTAGCCAGTGTTCAGGTGAGTACCTACCATTATATGGAATACTTATTTTAGTTAAATGAATATAAACAAGGATGTAAATAAGTACCAGGTATACCTATAGGTATATATGAATTCCCATGCATATATATATATATAGGAAGTGTATAGACTGATGGGGACCATGCAGTCTGCAATCTATACTTTTTTGGGTTGCCGACCGGCCGGCAGACTATATACTCTTTGTTTAAATTGTGGACCATTATTAAATTAAACTATTTTCAAGAAAAAATCAATTTTAAAGTAGAAAAAAAAACGAGATTTGAAAAAAAATTCTGAAAAATGAACAAACCTATCACCATATGGAACAAAAACCTGGTCAAAAAATTCTCTTGAGCTAACAATGGAGGAAGGAAAAACTAGATTTGAAAAAAAAAACAAAGTATAAATAGAAAGTGATGTATATATTCAACCCAAACATACCAACTGATTAGGAAACAAACATATGATGAAAAAAAAAATGTAAACTATTCCATGTGGGATTCACAAACAGGAGACCACATCATTGAGAGCCAATGTCTAACCACTGTGTTATACAGAAAGAATGTATTCCACTGAATGGTGGGCAGTCTAGGGAAAAAGTATATTCTGCCATACTTTCATAAATATATGATACATATAGGTTATAGGTGCACAGATCATTTTATATTCTTGAAGATGAACGCATAGGTAATTATTATATACAACTTGGACTACCTACATTATAAGATAAGTAGGATGTATAGGAACACTTCACTGAATCTTATTGATTTCATAGAAATATCACATATATATTATAACTTTTATTGTTGAATTCAAATCAAACATAGGTTGATTTCTGATGCTCATCAGAGTTTCTGTCACATTTCACAAAGTTGAAGATTGACCATGTAAATGCCATATTCATGATCCATGAAGATGGACAGAATTTGATAAGAATCATCAGATACACAATGATATATTGCCGGCATGTACATATTCTCTTACACACATATATTATACACATATACACTATATAATAATATATTATATGACTGTGCTTTTGTGATATACTATATGGGGATATAATTCTCAAATTATTAATTAATAATATATATATCACTATTTATTATATTCTATCATACCAATATAGTAGCTACTACCACCCTCCAGGGCCGAATATACCCACCCACTTTAAACCTAACTACCATATGCACCCTCATCACCCACATATGTCTTTAGTCCAGAGGGTACCTAGCTTAATTTTCTTGTGAATTTTGAAAAAAAAAAGTAAAAACATAACTTATTTCATTTCATGATAAGATCTCATCACAAGAATAAACTACCCCTTGCAGGGGGGGGTGCATGGATGGCTATGAATGGTGATAGTAGCCACTACTCAGACAGAGTTGTTTGTACCAAAATGCTGCAATGAGATATAAAAGTAAGTTATGTGCTTATTCTATACCTATATTCGGCGTTTTTTCCAAAACTCACAAGAAAAACTACCCTCTGCACAGGGGATGGGTGGGTATGTAGCTTCAAAGTTCATAAGAATAAACTTACCTCTGGACTGGGAATATGTATGTGGATAATAGGGATGGTGGAGTAGTTACTATACTGGGGTGATATTAGCTTTGTATTAGGTATATTGTTTGAGAGTATGAATTTTCAAGAATTGTATAGAAACCGAAAATTTCTATTATGGTCAAAAAAGTAGGTAGTGACAAAAATAACGATTGTCTTCTCTTTTTCCAAATATTTGTGATTCATTCTAGCTTCTTGGCTGTGTGGCTATTCCAGTAGCACTAGCATTAACCTGTCTATTACTGGGTGTTCGATATCGTATGGTACACATTATTGCTGTATCTGTTTCTCTCATGGGAGTTGGATGTTTAGTATGGGCGAATATAGAGGATTCAAAGACAGAAGGTAGGTAGACTCATTTTTCCAATAATTAGCCTCGTTCCCGAATGTGGAATATTCAACTTTTTAGGAAAGAATCAGCTAGTTGGAGATATGTTGTGCCTAGCGGGGGCCGTTTTATTTGCAATAGTCACTGTTCTGCAAGAACTCTCTGTGAAACACACTGATATTGTTGAATACTTGGGTCTCCTAGGATTATTCGGTAGCATCGTGAGTGGGGTTCAGATGTAAGTATTTTTTCATGTATATGTTCCGGAATCAGTAAGTTTTCATTGAATTTATTTCTGCCTACATTTTTATGCAACCTACTGTCTAATATTCAGTGTGAAAGTTATTCAAAATCAAATTGCCGTTCATATCATTGTAAATGTTGGTTTGAATACCTACCTATTAATTGAGTGCACCAGAGAGGCGGGATAACTGAAGAACATGCAATTAGATTGAAACCACTGAATGGATCGACATCAGAAATGTTTTAATATTTCTTCCCTCAAAATCTTTCTCTGTTCATGTGAAATTAATTATGAAATAGTAATTTAAATTCACGTGTTCACTTTGAAAACATCCAACCCCTGCTAGCAGATTATGAGGGACATTATTATCTGTTAGCAGTAAAGTTTATAACCATCAATGTGATGAATTTTTCTGAAACGGTAGGTATTTTGAATAATGTATCAAGCTCTTGAACCGGTATATGGGATATCTCACGATGAAAACTGTCCAATTTTTATCAGCACTGTCATATATCTTCATGCTGCGCATGACAATAGTTCTCCAATGCCAAGAAAATTATCAGTTTCATTTCACGATTCATAAGAATATCCAATTGGCTGACAAATGGAAGCATATTATTTTCTGATTCGAATTTGTTATAGTTTTCTTCACCAAACTAAAATACAAAGGTGCCTATTTTCTATTTCTCAAAGTTCAGTGTTGAGAAATAAATACACAATTCACAATTTTTTAATTGGGAAAAATACCAAATATACTGTTTTTTAAAGTTTCAGTTCAGACGTTATGACGAAATTGAAATGAAGAATTACTTCATTAAATTAAGTACTTATAATTTGCCTTCTAGTTAGTACTCCGGGTGAAACATGGAACATTACTTTTACGTAAATAGTTATATGGGGAGTTTCTCAACTTGACATTTTCACTTTGACCAGAAGTGAACCCAACTTTCTAATTTCAAACAGATCCATGTTCAATTTTTCAGGCTATCGTAATATTTTTGTTTAAATTCTCTGTGTCACACATATAAAAGTATCATTAATTTTATAATTAGCATCAGTTGACCGTAACCGTGGCATCATTGATGATTTTAGCACCTTAAAATTTACCGGAAAATTCTAAAAGAATGATTTGAGGGAGGTGCAAAACTCGTAACCGACGCTATAATCAAAATGAAAAATGACACTTCTTGAAAAGGGTTCGTTTCACGGCATTTTAACAAGAATACTTTTTTCATGTAAAAGTCTTTGAAGAAACATATTTCGGTAGAAAAATTGATATAAATCTTGAAAAAAAAACTCAAATCATTTTTATAGCATCAGTTATGAGTTTCACACCTCCGTGTATACCAAATCATATTTACGATTTGTAAGATTACCTAACCACAATACGATTTGTAAGATCGAATCACCCTTAGGTACCAAATTCCGTGATTTTAGGATCAATGATAACAAAGAGAACGTTAATCTGGGACACCCTGTATAATTGTACCAAAATTCAGAAAAATCCGTTCACGAATGCCTCGACGAATGCAGAAGTTACATGGGGTGGCCCGATACCCTGTGTATAACAGTAGATCATAAAATATAAATATTGACATATCCGCTAAAAGTAGATAACTGCTTGTTTCTTATAGAATAGGTTTTTTAGGTTGATCCTGGAAAAACAAACCCTCATAACATCTACGTGGAGGAACTCAAGCGCCCTGTTGAGTTCGTTTTCGGCGTGTCAATTCATGTTTTGTACATTCTCTTCTGTGTTCCTGATGAATATGGGCACGACAGCCTTACACTTGTCCCTGCTTTCAGGGAATTTTTATACTCTCATCGTAGGAATAGTTTTCTTCAACTACAAGGTGATGATTTGTTTCCGTATTCACCTCGTTTTTTAATTATTCATCGAGCTCTTTTCTTCCAGTTCCATGCTTTATATTTCTTGTCATATACATTGGCAATGACGGGAGTGTATATTTATGCCATTAAACAAACACCTGTAGCTGGTCGAAATATACCTTCATCAGGTGAAATGAATAATTCGAGTAGGTAAGTATAAATCGTATAGGAACCATTATCCAAATTGATATTAAAAGTGTGATCCCTGTGGCAATTCCTTCCGGAAGTTTATATTTTCATATGGCAGGGGAAAAGGGATCTCTAAAATTACTTATTTTGATTTCAGTGTAATAATTTTGAATGCTGATCGCTTCAGAATACTTCAATGAGTTTGGTTCTAGTTGTTATTTTTTGGATTGAGTTCTATTTTTTGTTCATCAGGTAACTATTATTTTGTATAAATTTATGATGTTAGTTTTTGCCTTGCTTCAAGTTCCATTTTTTGTTAGTATATAAACTATTGTTTTCATCAGTTTGATACATAAAATTAGGAACCAGCAACTTCTATACAAAATCTCATATATTTATTGAAATAGTAATAACATTTGAATCCATATGAGGATTAACTGAAATTTGAAAAAAATTGGGAGTTGACTGTCAATTTCCAATAATTATTAAGTACCAAATATTAATTGAAGATCAGAATTATATGCAATTCATTATCCATATGTTTGAAAATAATTTTCACGTGTCAGGTAATAACATTGATTCATTTTTTATAGGTCAGAATGTCAGCTACCAGAGCACATGATAACTGACAGCCCTGAGCATACCCACAATGAAATACTCTCCGCATTCGGGACATTAAACAGTAATGACACTTTCCCCCTGAGTCATAGTACAAATACAACCTTCACTTCTTTCTACGGTAGTCATGATGTAATCAACCAGACAACTAGTACATAAATTCATCAAAATTTCTGTTTTTGGTGCTTGTTCCGAGAATTTGAAGAAAACTATCTTTGATTGGCAAATATTTCGGCAATTTGACAAGGTTATCATCAGGGACGGTATTCTCGACAAGTAAACTTTTTGACGTATACCCCTAAAAGTGGTACAAAGTGGTATTCTTGACGACCACTCGTTTCTTGAAACAAATACGATGTAAAACGTGCGATCCCGACATCCGGCATCACTGTAACGTCTCACAAATTACATTATGTGAACAGGGCTCTGCAAGAATATATTTATATTAATGATATTGATTATTATCCTTCTAAATAAATAAAACATATTTTCATCAATTGATATAGAAGAATACGTGAGCATGTTTTCAAAAAATTATGGTTGAAAAATAAAGTTTGTGTGGTCGAGTGACAATTCAAATTGAACAAACCATTTTATTAATACTGTATTATTTCAGAGCCACCATAAAGGCAATATAAAATTATCGAAAAAAAGTAACGTAAAGTTGGTTAACGAACGTAACGTAAAGTTGGTTAGCAAACGAAAATTGTTTTCTCTAAATACTCAGAACTAGCCAAAAACAAACAGAACGGTCTTTGACACTCAAATATTTATTGATACTGTTTTTTACTCATTGAAATCTCAAAACTACGACAGGGTGTCCCACTCAATTGTGTCATCCCCCTTTATCCTCATATATCCCAACATATTTTGCCATTAAAAAACTTTTCTGGGATGATGTTTCCTCATATCAACAAAATACAGGGTGGCTAAGAGGAAACATTCTTTTTTCGAATGAAATCTTAATTTCAATCTATAATAATATATGAATTATATATTTTTTCAATTCAGTTTGAGAGGCCACATCGAATTATGGAAAAAATATAGATAATTTCACTTCCCGCCCTCACTCATGTAATGATTCAGGTATGTTCAGAACGAAACATAGATTTATTAATTTTGATCGAAATATGATGGTTGTAAATATAAAAGTATACAAACCTCGGTAGGAAGTTTCATTCCTGTCTCGAAATTATAGCTAACCTCGACGCTTTGCGTCTCGGTTAACTAACTTATCTCACGATAGGAATGAATCACTTCCCACCCCGGTGTGTAATATACCTATGGCTTAGATTGAAAGTTAGACAAGTTTTCCCGTAGTTTTTATGTCATCGCAACGTCAGATGATGACCTTGGCTACCGCGAATTTATTTCGTGATATTTACAAATGCAAAAATTGGGAAAAATAAATTAACATTTAGCATTCCTTATCCTTGAATAACATTCAGTTATTCATTCCACTTGTTTACGAATTTGAAAAAGGAATTTATTATTTCATTGTTGATGAAATGAAAAATAAAAGTGGAGAGATAAATACTTACCTGAGTATCAACATATTTTTCCTTATAAACCAGGCATACTGTAACTTGAACTAGAGAGAGCAGGATATTGAATTGAATTCAAATCACCTATTTCAAATTCTCGAAATTCTCCATTTTTTATATGCAAGTCGACATATTCATAATAAATAATAGGGATGAAATATCCAGGACTGGAATACTAACTAATACGTACCCAAATGTTTATATACGTTCTTATTAAATTCCCTATATTTGTTCAAAAGTGGTTTGTTTTTGTGATACAGTTGTTGTATTGAATATCAATCAAATGAAACAAAACTTGAAATCAGAGATCATTTGAATACAACAATGTATTTCACATGAATGTCTGAAACTATTTCACATGAACGCCTGAAACTGACCAAATGTGGAGACTATCGATAGTTGAATGAGTAAAAAATATGAATGAATGAATATTTAGAAAATGTTTCGCCGAAATATCAACAAACCCCTTAATTGTATAAGAGGGGACTTTGAGAATGCAAAGGCAGCATAACTTGTATGTATGTATATCTATATATCTACTTTAGAACTCCTAATCAACTGAAATCGATGATTTTTTTACCACTGTAAGCATTGTTGATAAGAAAGAACATGTTATGGTTCCTCATTGATGAAATATTATGACGATATTGAAGATACACGAGAATCATTGTAGTCTTACCTTCTGAATATGGTATCTGTAATGACCAGTGTAGATAGAACTTATATGATTGAAAATGTCATAAAGGTCCACCTCATGTTCAAGCCGTTCAGAGGGTCGACGATTTAAACTTTCTGTCGGCGTGAAAAGTTTCGGAAGCAGAAAAAGTATTTTAGGAAATTTGATTGGAACTGATTTCAAACACTTTAGATAAATTGGAATTGTCACGTGCATTAATATCTAGTAACTATCCGAAAGCCAGTATCCGATTATTTGTTTTTAGCAACAGTCTATATTATATTTGCATGATGTATAATAAAAGAAACATTTCATTATTACTTTATCGGAATAATAGTTTCACTGGTTTCACTGCCTATTCATATTTTCCATTTTAACCTCAATTAGTTAATCATGTAAACAATATTCAGATGTAATTTTTTCAACATCCTCATGATCTAATAATATGCCTACACAAATATCAACGCCAGAATGCTCTCAGAAAAGTTGAATTTTCTTTACTTATCTTGAAATGAAAATGCACATCGATTTTTCAAAGAGTTTATTGGAGAACGTTACAATAGGTTAAGTTAATTATGGTTATAACTGTAACATTTTCCACTATGACTAAATAATAAACTATTGTATATTATTATGTGTTTCGATTAGTAATATCAGTAGACTGAAGGAAATCCTGCTAGGATAAACATTTATGGTTACAGCTTATACAGCAATACAGCTATTTATGGCGAAAACAAATTATATTCATATAAATATTGAATAATGAAAAAAAGTTGTGCCTCTGTCTAAATGGATTAAAAGCTTTGATAAATAATTTAGAAATATAACAAACCCGCGAGTTGGGTGGAAAACATTTAAAATCAAATAACAGTAGTAATAAAAATTATATAAAAAAATCAAGCACAATAAGCCATGCAGGAAATATAGACTATAATAAATATAACAGCTATAACAAAACAACATCAACAACGGCTATAAACGCCAACTTTGATAATAGCTTGAGGTTTAAAAAAATGATTCAGCCACTTTTTTCGGGGGAGTTTGCTCTGGAATTCTCACTCCCTGATCTGGAATTACTTCTAGATCTACTCTTAGATCTAGATTTAGACCTACTTTTCAATTCAGGCCTTGATATAGATTCCACACCAGACTTTGAACCTGATATATCTGGAGAATTAACTCCAGAGCATTTTTCACTTCCTGATCTAGAATCACTCCTGGACCTACTTGCCGATCTAGATTTGGAACCAACGCTTTTTGGAGATTTGGGCATGGAACCTTTCTCACTTCTAGATCTAGAATTGCTTCTAGATCTGCTCTCAGATCTAGATTTAGAACCTGATCTACTTTGTGATTTTGATTTACTGATAGATCTAGACTTTGCTCTGATTTCTGATAATATGCTTCTAGATCTAGAACGAGTTTTAGATTTAGACTTAGATCTTGATTTCTTGGACGCACTTCTAGACCTGGATCTTGGTTCAGATTTCCCTCTCGCTCTTGATTGAGAGTTTTGCGGAGAATTTGATCTGGACCTAAAATATCACCGTCACCAAGTTTCTCTCACAAGAAGTACCGATTCATCAAAAAGGATTTGAGGTTCATATAATAACTGGCGTCTCAAAATCTTCTTGAATGTATACATGATCAATTTGAGATGATATTACAGGGCGTTTCATTAGTAATTGGAAATACTTCAGCTATCGAATCCTGAGCTCAAAATATGAGGATTTAGGTACCCCAAAGCATCTAGATAAAATGTGTCTCCTGTTTGTTCACAGGGCTTATTATTATATTTTATATTAAGACAGTTTTAAATTATTATGTTATTTCTTTTGAGGATCAAATTTTCCTGTGCGTAATGAATGCAATCCAATGATCCAAAATATCAACATATAATAATTACACTCCTGAATAAAAATAATTGTGCAGCTTCACGTTTAGCTTGAAATATCTCGAAAAATAATGACTTCATTGCTATGAAGATGGATAACGATATTTGAGTAGAAAGTATTGGAGCATCGAAAAATTGTGATACAATGGAAATTTTGCCAGTGGCGTTGAATTTGGGTAGGATCAACCAGTCACTTGCCCCTGTTGTACGCCTGTGATAGTAGCCAGAAACATTTTATTTCACATAATTTAGTAGGATTTCAAAGTACTATGCACAAATAATCTTTCAATTTTTCAGATAAAACAGGATTCTATAGTTATTGAATGTCAGAAACTGATCTTTCAAGTGCATAAGTTAAGTTGAATTCTTATTATTATTTTGTCTTTATTGGTACCATATTTTGCGAATTTAGGACGCCGCAGCGTGTTCAAAACTAACTTCGAGTTCTCACAGCAACATCAACGACCGGACAAACGTGGAATCCAAAAATGTTAACGTTTTAATTATCGATCTGGCAGGAATGCCAATGTAACGTCGAATAATAAAAAAGATGATATTTTGAAGTTTTTCGTGAAATCTGGATAAATAGTGGTTTGTTTCTCATTATCCGAATCGGTGTTTTTAAGACAAAAATACGTGGGTAACAGAAAAAAAAACGAAAATAAGCCCAGCACATGATAAGTGCAAAATTACCCGAATTATTTTTACAATAAGACATTGCTTTTCTTCTAGAATTCGATTTTTTCCATATTCGGACGTTGATTTGAAATACGATTATTTTAATGCATATTCATTCATTTAAGTACATCATTTGGAGATCAGATGGGCTAGTGAACTGTTTTTTTTTTTCATATTTCATTCTTGACCTCCACATTGATGCTTTCAATTTCATCATTTTTCAAAAACTTTTTGAATGGTTTTAAGGTCTCAAAATGACAAAGTCACAGTCAAACGATCAAGATTTGCCAGTTATAACTGCTCATGTCATGACTCAGTGACACATACCAAGTGTCACCGATTGTATTAGACAAGTCATACCTTCTGGAATATCAGATGTATCAAAATGAGATTTGGTATCGGTAAATGGTATATGAAGTGGAGTTTTCGCAAATTTTTCCCTTTCCGGCCACTTCCGGTTTCCTCGGAAATGACTGTATATTGTAACATGTTTAGGTCCCTATACTTTTTAATGGTTCATGTCCCCTTATATGACTCACCTTGATCTTGATCTAGATCTGCTACTAGAATTCGAGCTGGACCGTGATCTGGATCTGGATTCTGATTGACTTCTAGATCTTGTCCTATTTCTGGATCTTGATCTACTCCTGGATCTTGATCTACTACTAGACTTTGACCTGCTTCTAGATCTGCTAGTGTCAGACGAAATCCTCCTTTTCTTTTTAGTATGCTCTCTGTCGCTGTCATCACTGGCGTTATTGAGATTTTCATTCTCACTGTCCTCTTCACTGGTGGAAATAGTGGCTTTTGATACAATTCTACTCTTTTGTTTGGCACTAAGCCCTTCTTCCCTTTTCTTAGCTGGTTTCTTCTTATCTTTCCTTTGATGTCTTTCTCGTCGGCTTCTGGATTTAATTTTACTGTCTCGGCTTCTTTTTCTTTTTTGGATTTTTTCTGAATTTTCTGAGGCAAAATCTCCTCTAGCTTCGTTCTCGCTTCCAGAATCTGAAAGGTATTGCGGTTCCTTGCTGCGTCCTTTGCCTTTTTTCTTTTCAATGGGCATGTCCATAAAGAGTACGGCGTTTCTGGTTTTCTCCTTATATTCTTGACGTTTTTGCAGAATCGTTTCGTGCGAAATGCGTTTTTCCTCTTCCATTTTTTTCTGAAATTTACCGCTCTGATAAAAAAAACACAAAACCACCTGAATAATGGACCTACTATTTCTTCAATCTGTTTCAATTTGAATGCACTACGTTCCTCATCTTGCTTTCTTCTGAGAAGTCTTTCCTCTTCATCTGCTCTGCGGGCCCTAGCAACGTGATACTGAGCTTGTGATAATAGATCCTTGCATTGTCTGGCCTCAATATTAGCTAGAGTAGCATCGAATCTCAATTGATCACCGATTTCTGACAAATAAGTGAAATACCTGAAAAAATGTAATCTAATTAAGGATGATGCAGCTGGGAAAATGAAACGGAGTCAGATTGCTGTGGATCCCAGGAACTGAAAGAAATAAAGATGATAATATGGCTAAATTACTTGCTAGTGATAGTGCAGCATTAACATTCTTTGATATTGAAATTAAATCATCTTCACACTGGAGATGAACTTCAGGCCAACAACATAACAATTCATAAAATTATTCCATAAACCCAACCATAGTAAACTTGGCTCTTTCATAGGACACTGTCCTTTGAAGTTAGGATCTCGAGAACCGAAAGATACTAATTGGCTCTAGAAGTAATCGAAATTTCAGCTATTTACAGTAGGAAGGATTTAGTTCGCGAATATTTTATTCAAACTATACAAATTTAATGACTTAGGATGGTCTTCATTAGCATAGGAAGAGAGTAAAAGAGTATTCGAAATAACTATGGTATATGGATGTGAACGATAAACAAATCGTAACATATTCTATGACAATCGAAATTATTAGAGGTCATTACAACTGATAACAAAAAAATCAATTCAAGTGATATCCGTGAGGAGTTAAATCAACATATCATGAAGGCATTGAAAACATTAAATTAATTCAATAAAATTACCTGGATTATATTGATATTTGAAGTGTTGAATATAATATTTCACTGATACCTGTTGAATTTATCTTTTCATTTGGATAATATAGCATGAAAATTAGAAATTGCAAAAGTTAAACCCATAAAGAAACGAAGCAACTATGGACAAATGCCCATCAAAACGTTTTTCTCACATCGATCTAAGGAATCACCCTCTATACACTGACCCAAAATTGTATAAATATATGGTATCATGAGAAAAGATAGGAGAGATTAAATTTGTTATAACAAAAGGAGAGAAAATGAGTTGATGGGTGGATATGAGGGCTAACATTTTTAGTATCACCAATCGCGGCATTACAAAAGCGATATGTCTATGTCAAAGTCAAAAATTGTTGAATATTGATGAAGACGGTGGTATGTCCATAAATATATACTTTACATGAAACTTTTGCATTATATATTATATTATGTTAGCCCTCATTGTAGGTCTGAGTATCTTCATCATCCTATGAAAACGTACTTTAATGATAATCCAAGCTCCTGTACAGCCTGCAAAACAGTTTGCAAAGTAGATTTCTCATCTTTCAAGATGATTGTTGCTAGTTTCTGTAAAACCAATGCGATATTATATAGGAGGATGGTATCTTGAGGTGCGACTCGGCGAGCTTTAAGAAGCGCCATTTTGGCTTCCTTTAATTTGCCTGCCCTGAAATAGGCCCTCGCCAAGTACTGCAAAACTTCCACGTTGTTGTATCTGTAGAATTTTCTCAGACAGTTTTCATACTGAAATGAAATTATTTTTCGAGTCAACTCATGAACAATCTCAATATTTTCGAACGAAGCTGAAGTCAAACTATTTTCTCAATTCTATTGATTTTTCACACTTACCATCTGGATAGCACTGACAGACTGCTTTTGTTCAACGTAGACATGTGCTATATTCAGCCAGACGTCACGAAAATCAGCTGTGGCCTCTCTGACCTGAGCAAAAATATCCCTAGCCTCATTGATAGCTCCCTTATGTGCTAGAACGGCTCCTATTCCATTCGCAGCCCAGATGTTCTTAGGGTCGATTTTGAGAACCTACAATACGTATAACAAAATCAAGGCCTCAATGATGTAGTTTGCAAATCATCGGAAGCAATAGTTTTGTATATGATAGGTGCAGGAGTGCAGAACTCACAATTGTTATGATAATAAAAATAATGATTGATATTGTAAAATTCCCCTGAGAGGGGCTGAAAAAACATATTGAGCATGATCTTCCCAATTATTCTTGCATGTACCAACGTTTTCCCGAACACTCAATATATAGTGGCGACAGGAGATTCGCGGACGTTCGATGGGAACTTTAGAGATAGAGATAATGTTCTAAAAACGGTAGGAAAACATGATAAAAAAACTAAGGTAATTAATATAATAGTAGTGATTATTTTGTTATAAATACGTATGTGTTTCTTTCAGTGGAATAAATCAGTTTATAAATAAATGGTATCGTTGTTCTCTTCTGCCCACCAATAGCGTAACAATATATTGATAGATATAGTTATTATATTTTATGAAATGGGATTTCTATAAATTTTGTATAGGTGCATTTATAAATTGTAACTTCTAATTCAGGTTACTTGATCACGTTAACAAAGGCAAGCCATCAAGCAAAAAAGGTAATGCTTCAAATTTTCATGTACCTGTGAAATGTCAGGTTAGAATATTTGTAATAAATTTTTCTTTACAGATTTGACACTGCCGGACCATATTTATTCATATATAATACCACAAGTGATAATATTTTGCCGGAAATATTCGGTGATTGTTACGACAGCTTGTTGCCTAGTAATTTCGTGAATGACATTGTTATCAAAACTACGAGCTGTAGGTGAGTAGTTTTGGATCAATGTCATGAGCGAAATTAGAGCAGCAAGCTGGAGTATGTCAATCGACGAATATTTTCAGGAAAAATAGAATCACGAGTTGTATTCGTATGACTATTTCATGATTGAATGAGACAATATATATAAGAAATAGGAAACATAATTTGAGTATGTTCCAACTCATACTGCGAAGAAGAACATAATGATAATAATGAAATACAAAATTCAATTTTTTAGAAATTAACTACCTACTTATAGTTATTCACAAAGTGGAATGTACAATTTGGATAAACAGTATTTTTTTTATTATCTTGGAGATGGTTGCTCTCAAAAGAGTGTATACAATTGCTATCCAATTAAAAAAAATTGAATTTATGTGACATGAAATAATTTTAAAAAAGATATCGTTGCCGTGGGGCTCGAACCATCGACCTTCGTATCCTCGCGCAACAACCCTATCAGCTGCGCCACATCATCTGGTGATTTATATCAGTCACAAAAACTTGAGTAATTGAAGAAGATAACATTGAAAAGGAATTTTAATTCTAGTATTGTTGTGTCAGACCGTCAACAAATATGCAAACGTTTTAAATTACACATTAAACGTCCAGCCAGAATAAAATTGTCTCGCCTTTCGTACAAAATATGTCTCACTAACGCAAATTATAAGTAAATAAAATAAAGTAGGAACTCAGGTTAATGTCTCAGATTTGAATCCAAAGCAATCTTGACCAGACACGATGTCAAAATTTTATCGTTTATAAACGAGGTTTGTTGGTCACGTGTGCGTCAATTCGGCTTCTGTATTGGTAGAGCAAGTCCGATAAAATTTAGAAAACAAAAAATATCGCTATAATACAGAAGAAACCGTGAAAATGGTCTATTCTGATTGGTTCTCGAGATCAAGAGTGGAATAGTAAAAAATAATAGATTCATATGGAATATTGAATGGAATTCTGAAACACAGGAAACAAATCACACAAAAACCGGAAAAAATATTTGAAAAAAGAAACGACAAATGACATTTTACAACGATTATTGCCGCTCCGTCATCTTGAAATAATTCCTATTCCTTATTTTGTTACGTACCTTACAATACCTAGTTAGTTTATAATTATCAGTCCTGAGTTCCTGATAATTATGTGGTTATGGATATATTATTTTATGTTATTAAAGTTGTGCCATTTTTGTCATAAGCTATGTGACGAAATAAGCAAATTGAATTTATCTTTTTACTAGTTACTCTGAGGATAAATCCTGATCATGAATTTTGCTGTTGGGAATATTTGCAACCAATTGACGTGACATTTGATGATGGTATGTTGATCCACACAAATTTGCCATTTCATGAATATTATAGACAAAAATATTTCGGGTCATTGAATTCGGATTTCTTTGCAATTTTCAATAATTTTCGAAATCCAGTATATGAAATTATAATTCTTTAGTATTTGGTATATCACCTGTTTGTACATTGAGAGGGCTCGTTCTTGATGGCGTTTTTCTCTCTCTTTATCTTTGGTCGATTGGTGTAAGGTCTGCAACCATACATTCCCCAGAGCAATCAGGGAATAAGAATCTTGGGAAGTTGCTGGATTCTGAAATATCAAACATTGTATTTGGTTGGTCTTAGATTATTCGTATCTATTGCAAAAAGTACCAAAATCCAATCCCGACTTCGGCCAGATGTAGATAATTTTTTATTTATAATAGCTATAATTAGTATACCGAATTTAATGTTCAGTCAAAGAAGCTGCAAACATTTAGTTGATTTAGACCAAGAATAATCCTTACCTCACGTTTCTTCCACACCGTTTATGTTCCAGGGACTGTCCATGTCTTGTTTGCAATGTCATCTTACAATAACATTTGGTAGTGAAATTGAAATTAGATACCAACTATTACCTAAAATTTACTTGAAATTTTAAATTTTGATGCCAATTAGTTCCACAAGTTATTTAATGAGTTTGATTAGTCTGTCCGAAAATACATTTAGTTGATTAAAGGTCAAAGATTGCATGCATTTACCAACCCTTAAATATTGAATTTTCGTTAAAATTTCCATCATTTTGTTCATATATTCGATATATTCATTAACAGATACATACATTATCGATTACACTACTATTTATCAATATGATATTTCATGTGTTTCACTCATGATTTCTGTCCTCAAAACCAGAACCGAAATATATGAAAATTGGCTTGAAAAATCCATAGGACACACAGGAAATATTAAATAGTTTTTCGTATCAAGGCCAAGAAATCAATGATTATTTTATTCAAGATCGAGTAATTTTTTGTCATCAGTTATGTTCAGTCCAGATAGTGTGAACAATTATTATTTATTATTGTTCATGATATCTCTGTGGACGAAATGATGTCTCAGCTGATCACTAACTTGTAGATTCTGTATTTAGTCAAATAAAATTTCATTTAATTTGTGCTCTACTTTTGGATATCTTCATCTCTGTAGCTTGATTTTTACATTTGTTTACATGCCTTAGCCATCAGGGCTATCCAGCAAATCTTGGTGAATTTGGAGTATTTTCAAATTGATATAGGCGTAAAGCTTTAGTAGCGCTGCCCCTCAACTGAGAATTCTGCTGGGACTTTCAACAAGATATTATACTCAGTCAGGACATATCTTGAGTTTCGTTTCCATTAGGATAGAAACTAGTTGCCAATAATTTTTTGTGATTAACTTTTACTGTGTTTACTATATTATGAGCATTCATTATGTATTCATCACTCTGTATTTTCAATTCTTTACATATTTCCATTTCATGGTGAATATTCGTATTCACACCTTTCAACTTATTATCACAATAATGTCAAGTAAAAGTATTGAAAATTCCCAAATAAGCCAATAACCAATATATGCACAACTAAATGTTACCTTCAAGATTCGTTCATACTTCTTTTGACCAGGTCCCCATTCAGCCTTAGCCAAATGAAGATTTCCCAACAAGGACCAAGCGTCTGGATGCTCTGTGTTGATTCTCAGAGCTTCTTTGAACCAATCCGAGGCCTCGTAAATATGCCCTTTATCCCTCGCCATGCAGCCCAACCTCAAATAACAATCCACATAGTTGGGGTGTTCTTTAAGGATGTCCTTGTACAGCTTTTCAGATCTGTCGAATAAGCAAAGCGCCTCGTTGAGTCTGGCTAAATTGTAGGTTATCGTTACAGATATGGAGTTGTAATACTGGGCATCATCTTCTGCCTCGGCGTTTGCACGGTCCAGAGCTTCTTCCAGATTTTTCTTCGCTTCTTCCAGATTGTTCAACCTAAAACCCCAATTTCTCTATCAGAATTCTTATGTGAAGACATGATTGCTATGTGGCTTTCAATCATCATGGTTGAAACATTTCGCGGTGTAATTTTACCGTAGTTTTTACCTGTAGTGCAAAGCACCGACATTATTCAAAATTTCTGTAGGTATTTCAGCCTGGACATCCTTCATCAGAATCTGGATTGCTGTTCCATAAGCACTCAAAGAATTTTGCAAATCAGACTGTTCCAATATTTGTGCCAACTCTATCCAAGCTTCAATATCATCCGGAAACTGTTCGGTAACTTTTCTCAAGTGATTCTTGGCAATGTCTCTCTTGGATTGTGAAGTTGAATTCGCGTAAAGCGAGCCGAGAATCTTCATCGTCTCATAATTGCTTGGTTGCACTTTCAGAACTTTTTCAAAGCACTGAGCAGCCTGCAATAGTGATTTCACATGCTGATTTTCGTAATTAATTTCGAGAAGTGATAGAGATTCGCAAATAAAGGTTCCGTTTAGGGGCTGGTATATTCTTTATTATGCACGTGCACAAAATAATTTATCTGAAAACAGATCGACAACGAAGTGTTCGTCATAATTTCACAAGTATGACTTCTCTTCCAGATTTTAGAAATAGAGTGGAGTAGAGTTTAATTCCATCAATAGGCGAGTGGACTAGTTTTTTATTTCTTTCTCAAATAGAATCATCACTCAAATACCTTTCAATTTCATATTCTTATATATTTAGAATTCTTCGGTCGATTTTGAGGTGCTAAAGTCATCAATAGTGCCACGATAATTTTCAAACGGCTAGAAGTTTACCGAGAGCAAAAACTGACGTCACGATTTCGTAAGTAGAGGCAGACTATAGCACAGATGCCATATGTTGAAATGTAAATGGACACCAGTGGCGTATCTCGAAGATAAGATGAAAGTACTATCATACAAATTTTCGAAAAGTCAGAAGCAGACTATATTGGGAAATTTGGATGATATGAGTAAATAAATATGCTGGCCATTTTCATTGCATTCTACATGTCTGATCTTAGTTTTTGAGAAAGGAATTCACTGCACAAATATAGAATATATTGAAAATAAGTAAATTCCTCATATTAGTTTCGCCATAGATTAACGACTCCCCTAGATATACACCGTGAATGGGGATTTGGTCAACACTGAAATTAGTGAAACAGAACATACACAGATGTCTCCAGTATCCTTGGTGCGAATAATTCATCCGAGGTCCAGACAGTCAGTGGTCTATTTATAGCGCCGTGCACCCTCGAAACCGGCTATACGTGACAGCGTTGCCAGAATGTGGCATACGCTCTTATTACCATTCTTGGATAAAAAATCAGATCAGAATAAAAATAATTATTCTGCATCTTCTCTATAAAAATGAATGTTTGTCTGTCTGTCTATATGTCCTCGATAAAATCGTAAACTGCTCGACTGATTTGGATAATTTTTTTTTGTTTATTCCGTTATAGTTCAGGGATGGTATAGGTAGAAAAAAAATTGAAAAAATCAAATATGGCAAAAATTGAAAAAATCAAATATGACAGACGAGTTTTGTAATTATGGACCGATTTTATTCAAAATTGGTAGCTGGGGGTTTTCGGGGTCGGAGATTATGATTCTTTCGTCAAAATTAGGAAAGTCAAAATGGCGGATTCATTATGGCGGACGAGTTTTGTGATTATTGACCGATTCTATTGAAAATTGGTATCTGGGGGTTTTTGGGGTCGGAGATTATGATTCCGTCGTTAAAATTAGGAAATTCAGAATGGCGGATCCCTTATGGCAGACGAGTTTTTTATTTATGAGTAGATTCAATTGAAAATTGGTATCTGGGGGTTTTCAGGGTCGGAGATTATGATTCTTTCGTCAAAATTAGGAAATTCAAGATGACGAATCCAATATGGCGGACGAGTTTTGTAATTATGGACCGATTCTATTCAAAATTGGTATCTGAGGGTTTTTGGGGTCGGAGATAATGATTTCGTCGTCAAAATAAGAAAATTCAAAATGGCGCATCCAATATGGCGGACGGGGTTTGTGATTATGTTCTCATGTTTGTCTATATGTCCGTTATATAATCGTTAACGGCACGACCAATTTCGATGATTTGATGACTCAAAATAAATTGAATATTTGTGTAATGTCTTTCCTTTAAATTTATTTTAGTTGATGGCGAACCAACGCGCGCAGGGTACAGCTAGTTATAATATATTTGTCTGATAACCATCATAATAATATTACCTATATCATGAATCTGTTATACAAAAACACTTGAGATATGATAAAAGCATGAGTTGAAATATGATATGTTGAAAAGTTGAGAAGTAAAACATTAATTCTTATAAAGAAAATTGGAAAACTTGAATAAGAAAAAGTATGAGATGTTCATGTTCAGAAAAGCTGAAAAATATGAGCTTTGAGATATTGGGAATTTGAGGCAAAATTTGATTTAGGAAGACCAAAAGGTTGAAAAGTTGAGAAATTGAAAATTTTGAGAAATCGAAAATGTTGAATTGTTGAAAGACAGTAAAGTCGTGTGCGTTGCAAACCTGAAAACTTGAAAATTTGTAGAAAAACATAATAGGTACTTAAGAATTGGAGAGAGATAAAGGGTTGAAATAGTGGATAATGAAATGAACAACAAACAGGTTGAAGAATTGAAAAGTTGAAATGTATGAGTATGAATGGTTTTGGAAGTTGAAAATTACAGAGAAATGGTTTGAAATCGGGATGAAATTGTATGAAGTGAGAATTGAAATATTCAACAATGTGAAAGTGAAAATGATGAAAAGTCAGAAAGCTGAACAACAAACAGGTCGTAGAATTGAAAAATTGAAGTACAGAAAATCTGAGATGTTGAGGATAATGAGAATTTGAGACAAAATTCAATTTTGAAAGACAGAAAAGTTGAAAATCCGATTTTGAGGATAAAAAATGTAATGGATTGATATATATCATGTATGCGTATGCATAATTGGAATATCTATTTGATGGTTCGAAAGTGAAAGTTATTAAAAGTTGTAATTGTTGGAAAGCTGAACTACAAACAGGTTAGAGGAATTGAAAATCTGAAGTGTATAAGAGTTGAGGTTTTAAAGTTCTGAAAATTTGTTGTATAATTGAATAGGTACTCAATTTATGAATTTATGAACAGAACAGTTGAATTAATTGAAATTTGAATTTTAGAGAAAAGACAAAAAAATCACATGAAAGTTTTATATATTACTCAAAATACATTACACATTTCATAGAATAACGACTCCCGATGATCTATATACACTACGTAAAATATCAAGTTTTGATTTATTTGATACATTCCTACTCTTCTTCTTAATCGAATATTTTTCAGACGTCGACATCCATTTGCACTCTTTATATAATTTTACTACAATCAAATGATTGATGAGGAATTTAAAATGTATCATGCAGTCATCTGTTAACATTGATGATATTATATTATGCTCCGATATATTTTTAAGCTTCATTTTCAATTTCTTAACAATATTATTTGATGAAGAGGAAGTTGTACTATGATATAAAGCAATAATGCAAGGGTTTCGTAGTCCCTAACTTTTCAGGGTCAGTTTTCATTTTGAGTATATGAAAAAAATTTTACATACTCGTGAAGATCTTATCTATGTTCCTGTCGGCTTACTTTTTCGAAATTCGATTCGGTTCCGCCGGAAAAAAATTTGGAAAATCATCCAAAAACACGTTATTTAGCGATTTTTTTTAGAAAAAACTGAATCAAATTTCGAAAAAGTGAGACGACAGGAACATAGATTAGATCTTCACAAATATGTACTAATTTTTTCAACCACTCAAAATGAAAAATTAACCTAAAAAGTTAGGGACTACGAAACCCTTGCATGGCAACAATTTGTATCCAGAGAGTGGCGCCGCTCTCAGAATTGATAGGAATTAACATTTATGAATGGAGATGGTATATACATTCCTCATTTGCAATGTTTACGAGGGTCTGGCATGTGTAGAAAATACAAATTTCATAATTTCAGTGAGATATCAAATTATCATTATTTCATATCATTTCAGACTGCTTTAAAATACCTATAGAAATTCAAGAATATACGGCAATGTTATTACGGTGAGGCTCTCACAATTAACGATCTTATTTCTTGGGTTCTCGAAACATGGAAAACCTAATTATTACCTATTTTGAAAAATATAACGTTATCAACGTTTATTTACGCGTATAATTTGAATTAGGATTACCTCGGAATAATGACGGTCGAATCAGAAACAATTGTGGAAACGATAGAAAATCTACTGCCATCCAGTTCTAGGCATATCAAAAAAATTGTTATCGCAATAAAAAAGGATGCGCTTTTTTATCGGTATCAAAGTTTTTTTCACGACGACTCATTAGCGCTGCGGTTTGACACGCATCTTCTGACCCTCGCCGCATGATTTACGATCTTTTATAAAAAATAGGTACCGCTGATTGCTGCCAATGGAAAAGAATTTATGATTTGTGCACAGTGGGAGTATTGCGATTTTGAAATATTTTCAACAATGACGCAGGGGCCGTATAATTTGCTGACCTATATTAGAGTATATGCTGACCGAGCATTTCTGATTCGATTTTTTTTTTCAAATTGCATATCTGAATAGAATATAGATATATAAATGCCACCAGTGGCAATTTATTCTTAAATTTTTGGTTATCGCTAGCTGGATTTTTCGATTTACTCTCAACGAGCCTTTTCATTTGATACCCATATTGTAGAAGTATATTGAAAATAGCTATTTCGCCATCTTGGATGGTTCGCCATATTGTATTTAGAATAACGTCACATTATTTCTCGAATTACTATCAACGAGCCCTTTTATTTGATACCCATTTTGTAGAAGTAGATAAAAAATGACCATTCCGCCATCTTGGATGGTCCGCCATATTCGATTTAGAATGACGTCACATCATTCTTCGAGTTACTCTCAACGAGCTTTTTTATTTGATACCCATATTGTGAAAGTATATCAAAAATAGCTATTCCGCCATCTTTGATGGTCCGCCATATTGGATTTAGAATAACGTCACATCATTTTGCGAATTACTCTCAACTAGCCCTTTCATTTGATACACATATTGTAGAAGTAGACTAAAAATGACCATTCCGCCATCTTGGATGGTCCGCCATACTCAATTTATAATGACGTCACATTATTTTTCGAGTTACTCTCAACGAGCCTCTTCATTTGATACCCATATTGTGAAAGTATATCAAAAATAGCTGTTCCGCCATCTTGGATAGTCCGCCATATTGGATTTAGAATAACGTGACACAACTTATCGTGCATTGTCATCCAAACTGAACGTGTATACAAAATTTCAGCTCAATCGGTTGAAGATTTCTACTTCAAAATTGAGTTCAAAGATTCCACCCGAACATACATACATATAATACAAACATACAATGCAAGTTAAATGAAAGCTTTTAAAATATTTAAGGACAGATAATAGAAAAATGGAATATAGGTATTTTTGAAGAATGGCCCTTGATGATATGATTGTTCTCTCATAAGAATGATATATAAAATATATTTTTTCTACAAACGTCAAAAAATGACAAGGTTCGCGCATTGATAACAAATTGTGAAGTGACACATTTTTTCAGTTTCCTACGTTACCATGATACCTTGCACATAACAATGCGCGAAGTAAAACAGTGCGCGAAGTACCTACTTCGCGCATTGTTATGTAAAATATATGAGATATTTTTATTCCAACTTTATGGTCCTCAATCGAGCGAACATCCACGAAATCATTTATTTCTGAATGTTCAACCATAACTTTGTTTTATCTCTTGGAGCGCACGAAAGGAAATTCCTATTATGTTCGTGGAACATCGTGCGTACCTAGGGAGGATAGGGGGAGGCTTTTTAAGCCAGTTCAACACTATTTTTTATATCAAGCTAAGCATATTTTCACTTTAGAACTATATTTTTTGACGATTGTAGAAAAAATTTTGTTTGCAACTCGAGCGCGAAATACTTTGTTCATCTCGACTATTTTTTAACTCGGCTACGCCTCGTTAAAAAAATCAGATCTCGATCACCAAAGTGGCATTTCGCGCTCTAGATACAAAAATAACTATTTTCTACAAACGTCAAAAAATGACAAGGTTCGCGCATTGATAACAAATTGCGAAGTGACACTTTTTTCAGTTTCCTACGTTACCATGATACCTTGCACAAAACAATGCGCGAAGTAAAACAGTGCGCGAAGTACCTACTTCGCGCATTGTTACGTAAAATATATGAGATATTTATATTTCAACCTCATAGTCCTCAATCGAGCAAACATCCACGAAATCATTCATTTCTGGATGTTCAACAATAACTTTGTTCTATCTCTTGGAACGCACGAAAGGAAATTCCTATTTGGTATGCTCGTGGAACATCGTGCGTAACTAGGGAAAGGGGAAGGCCTTTTAAGCCAGTTCAACACTATTTTTTATGTCAAGCTAAGCATATTTTTACATTAGAACTATATTTTTTGACGTTCGTAGAAAAAATGTTGTTTGCAACTCGAGCGCGAAATACTTTGGTCATCTCGACTATTTTTTTAACTCGGCTACGCCTCTTTAAAAAAATCAGATCTCGCGATCACCAAAGTAGCATTTCGCGCTCTAGATACAAAAATAACTATTTTGTCCCACGACTGTTTTGTAAAGTGAAATAATCTATTGAATCTCGTTTCGTGAATACTATTTATCAAAAACTTTACTATTCATTACAAAGCTTCTCCGCCATATTGAATCCACTATCTCGAATTTTCTATAATTTTGTCCATTAATCTTTAACCTCGAAAACTCCCAGATACCAATTTTGAATAGAATCCGATTATAAATTACAAAACTCGTCCGCCATATTGGATCCACCATATAGAATTTTTGACGAAGGAATCATAATCTCCGACCATGTAAACCCCCAGATACCAATCTTGAATAGAATCTGATCATAATCACAGAACTCGTCATATTGGGTTCGCCATCTCGAATTTCCTAATTTTGAAGAATTTCTGAACTTATTATCCCATATTTCAGATGAATACAATAAAAAATCAAATATCATGAAAATTGTTCCAGCCGTTGTTGAATTAAAAATGGTGTAACTATCACGAATTTGGACTTCCTTGTATATAGACAGATCTAAACATTCTAAACAATCTAAATTCATCGACTGTTTACCCTAAAAACAGTGCCCCATATCCAAATGCATCTTCAGCTTCTAAACCCTGGAGTTCTCGATAAATTGAATTTCCAAAATTTCTACTTTCTCACACTCATGTCCATTTATTTATTGTCAACTCACGTTCTTGAATTTTCCAGCTTCACATAGGTAGGCACAATAACACATCATGAGAAATCATAATTCGAGCACAATGGAAAACTAATAAAATAACATAATACCATAGATTCATAGATTAAAGATTGAAATCTCTTAAACATACCAAGGAAGTCTTATACTAAAAATAATCGTGGTTGCAGTATCGTAGATAAATAATAATCTACATGTACCTACCAATATATCAGAAATCCAACAAAAACTAACATTTGACAACTCCGCTTCTATACGCTGAATGCCATGTTACAGAAATCTGTAAAAAATCGAATTTGCGACCACGCGCGGTAATTCGCAATAGCGGCGATAGATGGTAAAAATTCGGGGTCCCAACTAAATCCCAAACAAGCGTTACCGTCTGAATGCATGGGCGGTGTATATCTAGGGGAGTCGTTAATCTATGGTTTCGCACATTTAATAACACATTCAATTCATGGTTTCCAAAAGACTATGCCCTCTTCAAATACAGACTGAAATATGGCTATGCCAATATGAACTAAAATATAATTTGTCATGTTCTAAAAAGTTTTCTAAAATTGTTGTACCGGCAAGCGAACACGGATTAGAATACTGACGCTTCGTCCGCGCGGCTACCTGGCATTTTTAGATAGGTACTTATGGAAGTTTTTCCTTCGCCCTCATGTTCAACAAGAAGTTATGCAGTCCTGAACAAATCACTTCATCACAATAAACAAGTATATGTTCGACTATTCGGAAATAAATTCAATGACAAGTAGTCAAAGTGGCAGCTAATAAATCTGTCAACATTTCGTTGTTTGTAAACAAACCGATGAAAATGCATGACCTACGTATCAGTATTTCTTCTTCTCTCCTGTATTAGCATACATCCACGTAAGTTTGAGATTATTATAATTTGACCCATATTTCAATGCATACGATTTGTTCAGAAATTTGGAATGAAACCATAGGATTGCGCGTTCTAGTCGTATGATATAGAGATTATGAGTTCTGTGGATGCAATACTAATGTATTCATTTCTGATATATTCCACACCATATTCAGGTCTTGGCAAAGTATCGGCAACATGACGAGTATCCTAGAGAAGAAGCAAAACCTGGTATCTCTTATATGTCGAAAATGAGAATAACAGCACAGAACTTATTATTGTGTGGAGTGTGGCGTAAATATGAGTAAAAACAATGCAAATATATGTTTCTACTGTGAAGACAATCAGCTAATGGACTTTGAATGATCCATTTGTAATCACTGTGCGTGATTACTGTGATAGATTCAGATTATACTGATTTAGGATATTCTCTAGTTATATGTTAATGTGTATTTGTTGTATTTAATATTTACAAAGGTATATATTTATATTTTCTTTCCATCTTGAAATAATATAATGTGTAATTATAATATTTACGATGAATAACCGTAAATACAGTTCTGTTCTATTCTATTCTATTCTATATCATTTTCTCCACCTATAACAAAGATGTTTGTATATGGTATTCATGTCTGTTGACAAGAATATGATTTCCACCCAAAATATGGATGAAACATTCATGATTCAAGTAAGTTTAGAAGGCGCGCCCACCGGAGGACAAAAATACAGTGGAGGCAACTATCCAAAACATATGATTCTGTTACTCACATTTTCCGAATCGCCTCTATAAATATACATCTGTCCCAGTCCGAAATGGGGCAATACGAATGCTGCAGGAGCAAACTGTGTCGCCTGATAGTAGTATTGGAAAGCTTGATCAAAATCACCTTGAACATGGAAGGCTCTAGCTAATTGGTAGCAGCTCTCGGCACGCATAGCTTCATTTTCCGTATTGTGGAAGGCATGAAGAGCCAAGTGTTGGACTTTATTGTAATCCTGTCAATGAACATGATTAGAGTTGGAATTATCAAAATTACAGTTTCCTTTTTTAGAAACCTTGAGCTTCTACTAGATTCATCAGTGATTCCATACAAATATATGTATATCCTTGGAAGAAGTCCATGGTAACTCAAAGTGGAGTGGTGTAGTTCATAGATGAAAACCCAAAGTCATCTCCAAAACTTTTATTTTATGATGATAGATCTAGAGATGACTTTGGGTTTTCATCTATGATATGTATATCCCTTTTGGTTTTCCATTATCAAATGTGCCAATCAAAATGTCGTTTTGAGTATTCAAATCAACGATAAAACATTAAATATATTACCGATTATATTCGATTGATTTTTTGTTTTATCTCTCCATATTTTACCCCTTTTATGCAAGTTGCGATTACCTACCGATGAAGAAACAGTTGAATCTAGAAATTCTAGAATGAACTTATCAAAATACAGGCTGGTGCAAAAAGACCTTTATGTAAGACCGTTAAGTGGCACTATATCACCTGGATTAGCGGGCGTAAAGTAGCACTTCAGCACCCTAGGTCGATAAAGGAGTACAGGAAGCGGTAAAGTTGTCCGGCGGGCGGTAAAGTAGGTGACCCGGCGGTAAAATAGAAAATGTAGAAGATGATGTAAAACAAATGATGGATATTATATGCTTCACAAATTTGTACTTTCCCCAACACCTTTCCCAAAACCATTCGCAAAATTATGGGTGTTATAGCATGGATCCCAATTCGTAAAGTTGTTTTCACTGGGGATAGTCTCTGGATTATTGACCCATATATGCTCTTTAGGCTCAAAAAACGAACAGGGAGCGATTAATTGCGGGGTAATAGCTTTCTTCAGTGTGAAGTAAAGTGCATGTCGAAAATATCTTGTAACAGAGCCATTGTGACCCTTGATTCATGAGCTGTGGCTTCGCCTTGCTGAAACCACAATTTTCTGGTTGGTTCAGCTCACATATCCGCAAAAAGTATACGAACATATAACATATAACCCTATATTGAGCACCTTTGATGGTCACTGCTGCACTGTGGCTTCATTTATGAAGAAATATGGACCGATAAACCTGAATAAACGGTACTTTTAAGCGGGCCTAATATCGTGATGAAGTTGTCAAATTAAAATTCGTTCATTATCAGTTGTGTATTGTTCTATACTGAATTTCTTAAGTCTTATCAATTGAATTATGATAAAAATATCAAAATACAAGAAAAATAACGAATTCAAACCATAAAGTGTGTTGTGCGTCACCTTGTAATAATTTTATTCATTTTGAGATTTTGATAAGATGATTGATACCATTCTGACGACTATAATCGGATCATCAAGTCACTGAAGAAATATTGAAGTTCATCAGTGAAACGATTCTAAAAAAATGTATCTACTTTTCCATTTCGAGAAACGAATAGTAATTTTATGTATCTCAATCGGATATGAACCAATGCGAGTTGCAATGACTGAAAAATTAACTACCCTGAATTACCAAGAGAGTATCTACATGATTTCATCCCATCAATAATTCATCTACGAACGACCATGCTTACTCACTTTTTTGAAGAAGAAATGATTAGCTAAATGATTCAAAACCATAGGGTTGGAAGAGTCAATGGTGTATGCTTTTGATAGCATTTGAACTCCAGTACGGATCGAATCTGGCTGTTGTAGGTTCAGTTTCAAAATCGCAATGCCTACCAGCGCACCAACGCATTTCGGATCAAGTTGCAATGCCCTATCAAAGGCTAGCCTCGCCTTGTCTTGATTGCCAAGTTTCATGAAACAATGCCCCATTCCTGAAAGTATCCCAAGGCGTTCATGAATCTGACCATAGATTTGACGAACAATTCCACTGTTTAATTTGTTCTTTTTTACCTGTTCGCTTTTACCTGATATGCAAAGTTATTAATTTTGTGGAATTAATGGTTGAAATTTGATACAATATACTTTGCAGTGCTGCTTGGTAGGAATTCGGTTTTATTTTTTTATCCTTGATTTCCATTTGATTCATTAGGGGAGCATTGTTAAACAACATTTTTCTCAATTAGAATCATAATATGATGGTAATGGTCACAAAAAAAGAGATATTGTACATTTTAGGAATTGAATTCGGAGCACCCTAACTGGAACTTACATAAAGTGCTAGTGTTCACTCATTCTTAGACCAATTCACATACAAGTCGAACTTGAGTACAGTGAAAACTTCACTTGAACACATTGATACATTCAAATACAAAGTATAAAACGTGGATTTATTTTAACATTTGAAATTATGACGTAGATGTTTGGAATCTAATCATTTGAATGTTCAGAGCCCAATTTTATTTGCCTCAGATTCTGAAGGCTCTGAAGAACAAATGAGGGACACTTTTGGTGAATATATATATATATGTATAAACAGGTACCATTTATGTTATAGTTTATAATGTAAATTCATCAAATTTGTGCGCTCCAAGAGATAAAAAAAAGTTTACCTAGTCTAACAGCTGCTGGGCAATTGGGATTTGTCCTCAAAGCTTTTTTATAGAAAGCCAATGCCCCTCTGAAGTCCTTTTTGTTGTAAGCTATACATGCTTTACCCAGTAGCGAAGGAATGTTATTTGGTGACTGATTCAGAACAAAATTGAACTGTGCATCAGCTTGTTCCATTTTATCACCTTCCAGAAGGCAGAAATAGGCCCTTCCAAGAAGATGGTTCTGTAAATTTTCAGATTAGTAAATTGTTTTTTGTTTCTCTCTCACCATTGAGGCTTTTTCAGGTTTTGGATGCTGAACAATAATCTCTGAAGATATTTGAGAACAAAATGCCCGTTTTCAAATATGGCAGAAAAAATTAAAATCACTTATTTTTTAACTGAAACTTTAATATTTCAGTAGATAAGGGATTGCAATTCAGTACCCAAATTTTATTTCTTTTTAGTTTGATTGACTGCCCGTGACTGCCGTTTCTTGATGGGGATAAGTAAATGTAAAATCTGAAAAAACTTATCATTTATTCAGTATCAAGTATTATTTGAAAAAATATGCAATTTTATTTAACCAACTCCATGCCAAAGAATACAAGGATCATATCATTAGCACATAACATAAAAATAACTCAAGGTCTGCAACTTGGTCTGCAGACATTTATTTCTCACTTTATATGCTTTCCTAATAAAATCCCTATATTGCTGATACTGAATGATGATTATGACATCATTATCAATCAACGATTCTAATGGGTTTAGATATATTTCAGAGTATATCATCACTGGAAAGGTAAAAGGTCTAAAGCAACATATTGTAGGTTTTCGGGATCCTTTTGAACATTACCATTTTCAAAAAAAAAGGAAAAGGAATTGCATTGACCTTTAGATATGATGATTTGTTTAGGAAATTGCTATAGGAGTGATTTACTCCAAAACCAAACAATTCAATGGATGAGAAATTGTACTCCTATTGTCCCTGTATTGTTAGTATAAAGCACAGTAGCTTAAAGGGTGATACCATTTTATTATGAGTAGGGTAAAACTTCTTACTCATAAAAATCTTCTACAAGTAACCAGACTGAAATGTCTAATGAAACAAACACATTTGAAAGCAAAAATACCGAATAGTGTACTATAAAATGTATCCTAATCAGAATTTCCTACCTTAAAGAAAAACAAAAATCTGATAAGACTGATTTGACTAACAAGCCGCTTCTCTCATATCTTGAGAATGCAAAATGGGTTAATACAATTATCCTTCTGAATATTGAATTGTGCAAATTGACTAACAGGCAAACCCTCGGACAAACCATAGTTATGTATGTCATATCAGATCGATCAACCAACAATATAGTAGAAAATGATGAAAACTGAAATAATTAATGGTAGTTTATTTAAAATTGGAGGTGACCATAGTAGGAAAATGTTAATTTCTTCAGGGTATAAGCAAATACTTCAAATTATGAGTACCCATTTATGGTGACGAAGCGCCAGCTAAATGATCAGAATGCTATGAAATTTAGACAGATCCATGCAGAAAAAACAGGCTTGTTAGTCATGATAATAACTCATTTTTGTCTGTGGTGGCACTTTGAACCTTGTACCTTTCCAGTGATGATATTATATGCTTACCTGATCATACATAATTATTTTGTCTGCAGTTGTATATAGTAAGGTGGCTTTGCTAAATAAGTCTCGTTTCTTGTCCTTGTTTTTCTCTCTGTTAGCTTCCTGAACATAATAAGCAGCCAGCATATCCAGTGCTCGCATTTGATCCTTTTCATAATCTCTGTAATCATTGTTAGCATCAACTCTTGAGGCCTCCAGTATCTTGATGAAATCATTGATTTTTTCCTGTTTGTAATATTCCAACTGAAATAAACAAATAATATTATCATTATATCATAATACGTTATTGATCTTAAGCATTTTAGTCCATGGAAAAATTTCAAGTAGTTTCTCTGCGGTTTTATGTGTCTTTGGGGGTGCTGAATCTGAAGTTTGCATATAGTATTTCCTGGAGCGTTCAGAGATATACGCAAAAAACAAAGACATTTTCGCACTGTTTTCAGTTTTCAGCCAGTAACTCGGAAACTATACATAGTGAAAAGACCACCCTATAAAATGGTGGAGTATATGAAATTTTCTATGTATAATTGTCCTTACTCATGAATGTAGGACTAACGGGTGAGGAGCTAGAGCAAGTTAAAAATAGACGAAACTTGCATATTTTGCAAAAAAATGTGTTCTTCGTCGGTTCTCGTAGATAATTCATAATCTATATGCATTTCTAGAAGAAACAAACTACACTGACTGATGTTAGTTATTTCATTTGTCAGCCAGTAACTCAATTCTTAATTTGTCACAGTACTTGAACATATTTACATCAACTAAGTAGAATCATGGTTTTCACACCTTTCATACGTTAGCAGAGGGAATAAAACAAGTTTCTCTCACATACCACCAGATGGAGGATGAGAGTACCCTGGAGCCAACAAGATCTGCTCTACCTGTACCATCACCATCCCTAGAACCCGACCCTCGAGGGTACCAACTCCCGCCAAAAGAAGATGTAGCGACGCTTATATTGTAAGTAGATTGTAGGGATCACCCTCATCCAATGGTCATCTATAACTATGGTTAATATATGCCAGATATAGGTATTCTTCAAAGATTTCCATGAAAAACAGATAACAACTATTCAAACTATCCATTTTATGATAAATAAGTACTGAAATCAATTTTCACTATGTGCATGGGTTCCAGGGCATGAGACAGGTTATCACCTAGCAAAAAAGGTGCATTGTCTATATTCTTTTAACTGGAGACTTTCTGTGGGACAAGCAAATGCAATCTAATCCCAGAGCTCAGGAAATGGAAAGAGAGTGAGAAAAGCATCCTACTGGTGAGCATGCAATTCCAGGTCAACAAGAACAACAAAGGTCATCAACAATTGAAGAGTCAGCAAACCAGAGCTCAACCACTGCCCTCTAAAAAAATGGGTCTAGTGGAGACTTAAACTTGCCGCATTTGTCACAACGTGACCAAATCCGCCAAACACATACTTTGCTCATGCATGTAATGTTCTAGTCCACTAAACGCTGAATCACCTAAAACAGGACTACCTGACGCCTGATGAGGTGGAAAATTTATCAAGAAAATCCTAGGTTTCATTAGAACTCTAGTGTTATAGAAGACAATTAGATGAGGGTAATCCCTACAATCTACAATACAATCTATTCCTCACTACATCATCGTTTGGCGGAGGGCTGGAACCCTGAAGGATCCTGTTCTGGGGATGGTGGTATATAAGAGAAACTGTTTTTTCTTCTGCTTAAAAAACTAGAGGCAGGTGTGAAAAACATCATCCCACCAAGTTGATGTAAGTATACTCAAGTACTGTGACAAATCAACAATCCGCAGTTACACTCTGACAAAGGCAATTACCCACATGACCAGAAGTCCTCCACATCAGGCAGTGTAGTTTGTTTCTTCTAGAAATGCCTAGATTATGAATTATCTAGGAGCACCAAGGAAGAACACCATTTTTTGCAATCAAATGTGGTCTATTTTTATTGTGCTCTACCTCCTCACCCGTTAGTCATACATTCATGAGAAAGACCAACTATATACAGAAATTTTCATCTAGTTCAACTTTTTATAGTGTGGTCTTTTCACTATAATGTACAGTTTCCGAGTTAACCCATTAGATCCCACGTTCCTTGTTTTTTTCAATAAGTCTACAAAGGCAACTATAGTTCTAACATAAAAAACAACATAGATATATATGTGTACTCATATGAGTACAATGGGCACATGTAGGTATAACCTCGCCTGATGTCAACATTCTTCTATTCTTGCAAGAATATGCTTATGAGTGGTACGAAAAGAAGCAGTCACGTTCAATACAGAGGGTGACTCCACCTTTTATACAAGACCATTTTGCTCGTTAATGCCACTGATTACATCTCAATTGCTTGAGAAGGTGTGCTCTTTGTTTCGATGCCTTCTGGAAGCACTGTAGATAGTGACGAGCAATATATCTATGGAAATTTAGTAAGTCGTGAATCTCAGCATTTTCTTCTGCTTCCGACTGGTGGAGTCGCCATGCATTGAACACTGTCATATTTATCATCTGGGAAAAAAGCTACAGTCTCGCTGCAAGCTCCACAAGGCAGTTTGTGATAACCAGTCAATAACATACCAATGAATATTTTTACATCCGATTCAGAAACGAAGGAACTGTGATCATTTCTTTGAGAAGCATTTAAGTTCGTTTGGGTGACAATGTGAGAGAAAACTTTTTTATCAAACAATTTCTCGAACATTTCCACATCCACAATATTCTGACCCTCCAAGTTCGCTCCCAAAATTTTCATCGACCCCGTTGGTAGAAGCGTTGATTGATATATTACGCTTAGCGTAATATATCAATCAACGGTAGAAGTCATGGTGATGTCAGTGTAGTTATCTGTCCACTTGAGTTTTGCCGGTTCGATTTTTTTCGTTGTGGTTGATTTGTGTCACATGCTGTTTGTCTGGTAATCTTTTGACGAAAAACCGATAATGGCATATTGAATTCTTCATCACTTGATGAGGACTCATCCAGTTAACAGTGAAGCTCAATTTGCCCAGCAACATCTCTTGGAAGATGCGTGCCATCCTCCAGAATGTAGTCTTTGTCGAAATCTTCTTCATCTGTGCATCAGGATCCGGTGGAATGATTACCAAATCTACAGTATCCTGTATAGATGAGCAGCTGAAATCATCGATAGCTCTCCCTAATTGCCGATATGTTCTGTCATAAAAGTATGGGTTGAAAATCGTTTCCATCCATCTCGACATTCATCATACATGAAAATTGCGAAAAATGAAGTTTTCCATGGAATAAGCGCATTGTAATCAAATGAGTACATCAAGTATTTCGACGTGATATTTACCAAATATTTCATGAAACTAGGTTATAATCACTCTAGCTAGACTGATTCCGGGATAACAGGGGTAACAAGTCATGTAAGACTCAGTGTGTCAAAATGTTTCTAAATGTAGCTATACAATATACATGTTTATTCACTCACCTGCAGGTTCAAACTTGCTGCATAAATCAAAGTATTTTCTTTACACTGCACAGAACACTGTATGAAACTTTTTATATGGCTCGTCATCCTATTACGCGAGAGATGGCGTTCCTGAGCGAGTTAATGAGATGTACCCATATGAGTACAATGGGAACGAATGGGATACGGGCAAAAAACTGAAAAAAAAGCGAAAATGTCGCTGATTTTTGCGAATATCCGAAACTGACTTATTGAATTTTTTCTAGGAGAGGATTTTTATTGTTAAAAGTTTCACTGAGCTATTTGATCATCAATATTCTAATGGAAAAATTGAGTTCTCCAAAATCATTTCCACCATAATGTGTTAGACCAAATCAATAATTAATGAGCCAAGATCTTGTAAGAGGTATTTTCTGTGGCCAAGTACTACTAAATAAAACCAAAAAACTTTCATGTAGTGAAGACAATAATAGGTTCAGGTGCTTTTCTAATCATTTTAGCTCTCAATATGTACCCAGAAAGATATCAGTGTCCTATGTCCTATTAGTACCTAGCTAGATTTGAACAAATACAAATGTCGTCATGGGGAATACCATATGGCTAAATCTGGCAACGCCGCACGTGACTTTGCCTCTATCCCACTATGTATCCCTTGCTGATAATTGAAATTAATAGGTACTCACTGCCAGGTTGACCCATATCGATAACTGGGTATTCTCCTGTCGTAATATACCAAGGACTTCATCTCCATCAGGTAACTGATCTGTATATAACTCGATAACCTGGAAGGAATATCTGGATTCTGGAAAACCAATTGCATTAATAACATTGCATTGCTTACTTCATCTGTATCTCGAAGGGGAATCTCAATTGATGCTGTCATTGTCATAGAGTTCTTCGAGAGTGGTTTTCTATGTTTTCAGAGTATTTTCCAACTATCTCCCCGAGAAATTTTTAGTATTTTAGAATTAAAACTTGTACTTCTAACTTTAACCACTTTAATTTTTTTTAACTCGACAGTCGACAGTGTTGCCAATGCCAACATGAAAACTGTCACTCTGTCAGTCACATTCATGGTCACATTTCTTGAAAATATTTATTCCCGCCATTTCCTGCCACATTCAAATTTGATGATGATCTATTAAAAAAATTTATTGTTTGGAAAAATAAAGGTACGCATATAATTTACCGAAATGAAGAAAAGTCATTCCAATTTCAATGATATGACGCCTAGAATCAGAATCTTTCTTTTCAACATTTTTTTTTTGAAGAAAATTTCTTATAAAAAATCACAAACACAAAACACAGTAGGTACACAAACTTTCACTTCAGTGTCAGGTGTCAGTACTCACTATATGTAGAGCGTAGAATGTTGTTTCATATGTGAATCTACGGTTTCATGAATGTTTCATGTTACAAATATTCATCATTTGGTGCGTTACAAAACAGAATTTAGATTTTTGATGAAATGCCGGTTTATATCACCCAATGTAAGAGATATAAGTTCTCACGTCACGACTGGATGAGACGATATCAAACCATAACAATACATATTTCCCGGAAAATGATTTCTTCCACCAAATATCCAGCAATTCCAGCATGCGTTCGGATTTGTCGAAATGCGGGAAATTTACCGCCAACTGGCAACACTGCAGTCGACTTTTAATTATTGATCTTTCATTCCAACTGTGTGAAAATGGCACCCAAAGATAGCAGCCAAAATCTCCGAACATTGCCGAAGGCCCAGTGGCGGACAGCATGTTTTTTTAATGCCTCCAAATACCATACAAACAAGATATGAGATTTATGAGTGTATTTATAAAGAGCTGCTGCGATGAGTTAGAGTGAAAATCATTAGAACATACCCAATAATAAACTTATTGACCATACAAACAATTCCCGCAACCCCTAAAAAAAGTACCTATATCATTCATTATTCCAGAGGTTTTTTGGGATTTTCTCTCCTCGTTTCTATAAAATAAAGATATGAATGTTATTTCAATATACCTGTAGTAAGGACAAATCAGATGATTTGCCCCAAAATGTCACTGATTTTAAAGAATTTTCCTATCAGAGAGCCTAAAGGAAAAATTCACTAGCTTGTCAGTGACAATTTGTTTTGAAAAAGGTTTGGAGAAGAGAAATGAAGGTATACTTACAGAAAAAATATCAAATTTTCACTTATCTTCGGACGTTTGGGGAACGAATGTGCTCCCGTTTTCAACATAAAATATGGTTATTTGAATAGCAAATTCGTATTTGTCTTGAAACTTTTCAGTTCTCAGTGACAGAATTTGCTATTCAAATAAACATTTTTTATGTTGAAAACGGAAAAAGATTCGTTCCCGAAACGTCCAAAGATAAGTAAAAATTTGATATTTTTCTATATACCTTTATTTCTCTCTAACAGGAAAATTCTTTGAACGCAGTGATATTATGAAGCAAATCATCTAATTTATCCTTACTACACGTATATTGAAATAATTAATATTCATATTTTTATTTTATATGTAGGAACGAGGAGAGGAAATCCCAAAAAATCTAAAATAATAAATGTACTACCTCCTCAATAAACCTAAAGACATCAGTACCTATATTATATTCAACCTTATACAACTATAAAAATATTATTTTGAGGGTGTGCTGCGATGAAATAGGGTAGAAATCATTGAGACAGACCTAAGAAACGATTTGCCTATCATGAAAACAACCCTGCAACCCTATCGCAAAAAAATATCATATTCAACCCCACCTCTATATAAAAAATTAATTTTTTCTGTGACGGGAAAAAAGTTTGGCATTTCATCTCTGTTGACAGGTTATAAAATGTCACTTTTCATAAATTACTTTTTTCCCGGATATATATCACATATATATACTCTGTTAATGGCTTTTGTTGTGCTATAGTTCCGAAAAATGAGTCAATAATACCGTCTCCGAGAAAGAACTGCAAGTCCTTTTATCTTTCATTCGACTTCGCGGTTTCGTATATTACTAAAAAACTACTGAATTCGCAATTTTTTAAAATAAAATCACAGAATTGAACTGACAGAAGTGACATCAGATATTTGATTACTTCAAAATAATGATAAAGATGCCTATAAAACGCAGGTGTCCCTACTGTTAAAAACTTGAAATTTCACGTCGATAATTTTCAGATTTCGAAATAATGTAATTTCTTCTCAATATTGATTCGTCCTTCCTTCTGTCACAGAAAAAAATAGTGTATTATACACGGGAAAAATATTAGATTTTAGCTCACGGTTTTTTGTCTCCCTCCGCTACGCGTCGGGAGACAACATGCACAACCTGGGGCTAAAATCTACTACTTTTTTCCCTTGTATAATAAATAACTATTAAGGGTGTAAATGAAAAACTATTGTGATTAGATAGAGTAGAAATCCTTGAGACAAACCTTAGAAACGATTTGCCTTTCGAAAATATCCCCGCGACCTCTATCGATAAAAAAAACTCTTACATAGGTATTCAACCCTCCATGATGCAGATAAAAAAATAACTGCTGCGATGGGATAGGGTAGAGATCAATGAGACAGACCTAAGAAACGACTTGACAATCAAAAACATCCCCGCAACCCCTATCGAAAAAAAATCATATCCAACCCTCAACATAAATAATATTCTAAGGCAAGGAAGGAAGAACTGCTGCGAGGACATAGGAAAAAATCATTGAGACAGACCTAAAGAACAATTTGTCTATCAAAAAAATCCCAGCAACCCCTATCGAAAAAACAATATTTTATGTTCAAATAAGAAACTGCTGCAATTAGATAGTGTAGAAATCATTCGAACAGACCTAAGAAACGATTTGCTCATCAGTACGGTGAGGGCTTTGTCCATACTATTTTCTTCTCCGTTGTTGACAACATTCTCCTCCATATTCCTTGGTGACGTTTTTTTTTAATTTCAACAAATGTTGCAAGTGAATTTTGACTCACTTCTAGCCGTCCTATCAACTTGAAAGTCGGCAGATGTTCGTAAATTCGGTGACAATACATTATGGAATTTTTGTTAAAATTGAAAACAATGGCTGCTCCAAGATGGCGGACAAGATTTGGTCTGATTGCATTCAAAATTGGTAAGTCGGGGTTTTTGAGGTCGGAGATCATGATTTTTTTGTTAAAATTTATAAAATCAAGATGGCGGCTTCCAAATGATTTTTTGTTTTTGTATAAATGACGATAACTCCGTTGTTATCAACACAAAACTATTACTGCGACATATCATCTGTAAGAGAAAAAAAAGTTATTCATAACTAAGTCATAGTGAGCTATGACCTACATTTGAAAAACTAAAATTGGTGCTGATATCTCAAATTCTAGAAGAGTTGGTATAAATTTCATATTATTTTCGAAATCACTTTGAAAAACTACCATGAGAATAGTAAATTCCTATTTGAATATTTTCATAAATAAAGAAGTTACGGAGGAGACATGAAGATGATCAAAATCTGTCTTCTGCTTATAAAACAAATACGAATCGATTTTATCAAAATATTTTTTCACATTATAGCTGGCCTTGCAAACTCCACAGTTGGTGTCATTTAACCGACCTCGTATCTCTCACCGTTAAAAAGATACCCATGGTGAGCATGGTAAGTGGGACACACTGTATATACGATCTTGAAATTTTGTGAGAAATATTTTTTCAATATATGAATGGGAATCCTTTTTCTTTTAAACTTAATGGACACCCTATATGTGTCGGAAATGAAGAATTTTCGGACCCATGTTCATATGAACTTTTTTTCTTTTTCATATTTTGTTGAGATGAATCTTCCCTAGGCTTTTGTCTCCACAACTCTGAAACACCCTGCATGGAAAGGTTGGTAGTAATTGCGAAGGAAAATAGGGTTGAATCTGCGACGCTCATTCCAAATAGAGGGTGAACATCCCCACTTCGGCGTCGTCGGCGCGTCAGTTCGCGCCGAACACGCGGAGTTCAAACCTCGAATCCGATCGGGCGTCTGGTCGACAATGTTTTGTTTCTGACGACCACTTGATTTACCGGATATTGTGCGAATCGGAAGTTGCACGCTCCACGAATTGTGTTGAAATTGTGATGGTCTGTGAGGACGTAGACGAAAAATATACCTAATCATGATGAACTTTGGTGGTTGGTTCGTTTTGATGGTGTTTGAAGGTAAGGAGCATATTTGCTTCGTTTTTTCTATTTTTGAAAGTTGGGAATACATTCTCAGCTGTGCATAGTTATATGGTTTCTGGTGTTTCCTGAACAACTTATAAGTACATGCTCCCCATTGCTTAGTGCATATATCCAGTCAGAAACGAACGTCCTGAAGATATAGGTACATTTTGGGTCTGAATTACGCCTTCACGTCTTACGACATATAGAGAATGTCTAGAGGCGTACATTTACTTATCACAAGTTGTTTGATTGAGGCATTGTCGATCTAAATAAAAAAGCTAGTTGATAGGCGAGAGGTTATTATACCTCTACTAACTATAGCTTTTCCATGTAGATAGACAATGATTGAGGCTACCATCAGCCAGCCGACCCTATTGTTATTTTCCTGAGAGAATTTTCATAATATATATTTATATACCTATAAATATTTAGGTATTCACTAGTGACCACAGGAGTATGTGCGGTTTGACCTGTTGGATGATAGTATACATCACTTCGTTTTCTTCTAGAAATTTTCCTTTCAACAGTTTCAACACACAGGAAACAAGAAAAATCGTGACAAACAAATATCGATCTTATTCAAATGTTGGGTCTACAAATGAAAACATTTGTAATTCAACACCAGTAATAAAACACGAACTTTCAGATATCCTCCTAAGGAAGGCAAACCACAGAAATTATACCCCTTCACATGTACAGATATCTTTTTTATAAGCAATCATGCGAGATCTCTCCCAATAACTGCTTCATAAAGGAACCGTCTTTCTATTTCGTTCACCAAGCTAGGTACTGCACACCTCAACAGTCTTTTATATGATTTTGATCCACATGTGGGCCTCAAAAACCCAAAAATACGCTGAGCTTACAACGCGTTTAAATATACTCATTTCAGAATATTCTGATTGA